CTCTTAGTAAGAAATGAAGAGGAAGCCGCTCTGGCCTAATTACTTTAAAGAAATGGAACCAGCATACAGAAGCCTACTTTATCAGTATGAGAGTGCACTTTGTGTCTGTAGGCCCAAGCATGGACAGTGTTAATGTTAAAGAGCCGGAGCTCTGACTCCTGGATAACTCCACGTATCTGCGAACATACAGTTGTGAAAAAAACAGAAAAAGATGGGTGGGTGTGTGCATGTGTGTGTAGAGAGCAGCTGTGGAAAGGGCGAACAGACGATCTTTTGTCCCATTATAGCTCTGAACCAGAGCAACAGTTTCTACCAAGATTTCAACCATTTGTGATCGCCACACGGAAAGAAATGCACTGTAACTTTCCCAACTGGAATATAAGATACCAAAAACGTGTCAACAAGACACGGCAGATGCTAAAAGTATCTGATTCTCATCTCCTTCCGCCCCTTCACTGATAGGGAAGAAATGTGTATAAAGCAGTGTGGGGTGGCTGTTTTTTTTACACCTTGCCACTTACATTAGACTTGTGAGAGGAGAGTGGACTGAACAAATGTACAGAACTCAGGCAAAATATAACACTGTGGTTTTATGCCAGACACACTCCTCTATGCATCCTGAGATCAACCCTGCCAAGGCAGTCCCTTTGGTTTACCTGCTTTCAGTTAGATGAACACACTGCAGAATGTATTCTCCTCACAGCTTTTCTACCTTTGTCCTCATTTAAAAAGTTCCAACTCCTGGTGGCAAACGGTTGAAATTCAAAAGTTGTATACTTCTTGCTTGTGAACATTTCCACATACCACCACAATTCCTTCTCAAAATGAGTATATCAGTTGATTTAGATCAGCCTCTAAAGCCTTTGCCAGTGTGCATTTCCTCCTGAACAAATCCTGAAACTGATCAGGGTAGCTTCCATCAACAAACTGTGGATCCACCCCCAGTGCACAGGGGTCATCATTTCCGGTGGATGCAGATTGCATCACAGCACTTACCCGAGGGCACAGGGGCGGCTAATGTGAAGGCGTGGCGACGGTGTGGAAATGGGTGTTTTGATCAAGGTTAAAAGCAGTGTAGGTTGTAGGCCTGCATGTGTGTGAATGTGTTTGCTATCATCTACTCTGATGGGGGTTTTCACCTGTCCAGTCCTCTCACATCAGAGGAAGTAGAAAAATAAGACAATCTGAATGCTTCCTTGATATTACAGGAGAATCCATGGAGGAAATCAAATAATCTGAATACTTCCTTGATATTTACAGGATAATCCATGGAGGAAATCAAATATTTTGACAGTCACCTGCCAGTCAGCTGATGGTTTCAAGTGATTGGGTGAGTAGGAGAGAATTTGTGGGTTACCCTGCATTTGTATGCGTTGCGTATCCACATCGGCAGACTGTGTGTCTTTGGTTAGTGCAGTGGGAGATGCAGGCAGAACGGACACAGAGCCACCTGCTCCTCTCACAGTGGAGCAGCCTGTACTCCTCATGACTGGGGACAGGTCCAAGCGCTCAGCTCCTCAGCGTCCCTAACAGGTGTCCAGGGGCCGCACAGGGCTGCTGAAGGTGAGTCATGGATATGAGTTTTGGCAGCAGGGCTCCTTGCAGCGCAGACAGACCTTCCTCACAGGCAGCGGGGGGCCTCGTCTGCAGAGGACACAGTGGCAGCACGGCAGGGACTTTCTCAGTGTTCAACGCATTAAATGTCTTCACTATGTTGGCCAGCTTAAAGTTCTTCTCCAGTGTGGGTTTCTGCTCGTAGTCATGGTTGCATTCCGGGGCAGCGGACCGCAGAATTTTCCTTGGCCCAGGCCTCAGAGATGCAACTCTTGCAGAAGTTGTGCTTGCATGGGAGCTGGATGGGTTCTTCAAAACATTCAGGCAGATGGGACAGAGAAGCTCCTCTTCGAAGGCAGTTTTTCCAACTTTCATCCATGGCTTCAGCTGGATCCAAACTGATGTTGGCTAAAAATAGAAAAACCTGAGAATTAATTTTTTAATATTATCGATTATCTTTTGAAATATATAGGAATACCCTTGTTGAGAACTAAGCGTACCAATGTCTTATTTATTCTTGATTAACATAGTATCCAAAATGGCACAAGGTAATAAATTATTTTGAGGTAAATGCGTATTAAGAGTAGATTAGTGTCAAATGTCCAATTAAAGTGCAACCACCGTGAGACTAAGACAAAACATGCCAAACTATTATCACTATAAAAGTATTCACATACGTACAATGACAATATAACATTTGCTTGTGAATTTTCGCTGGGGAATTCACGACAGGACGTTGCAAGCTGTGGCGTTTTAAAGCAAGTGACAACTTGCTACGGAATAACGCTGTAAAAGGGACTAATAGAATGTCACACTGGGCTACACTGAAAATGTATTTCTACGCGAACACAGTGTTTTATTCTGATATAAAACAGTATCTAATGAAAACATATAAGACGTATTCTGTAAAAAGAAAAGGAACATTACCAACTATGTATTTCCCATGTCGTTAGAGGACTCCGGTGCACCTATAATGCCGAGCTTCGCATCCAGCAGCCCGCGGTGAGATCCGGCTCCGGCGGGGGGATTACGGCCGTGTGTCCGACGAACTGCTCCACTACACCCCGGATTTTATTCGATTCCCGGCTGTTATTCCGATGGTTTCGCTTTCCCGTCAACTCTGAGTAATATTCTATGGTAAGTGTAGGCAGACGGTGACTCGTCGGCAGGGAGCTGAGTGCTTCCACACCGACTGCCCTCCTCCGATAACGTGACCCGTCACAGAGCCGATACAAGGCGGGGAGGAGCCGAGTGGAGGAAGGGGAACAGCCACAGCAAACTCTACCGGAGAGACTGCTCATGACCGGGAGACATTTGTGTGACCTGTCCGTCCTTGCTCAACCCGTTTCTAAAATATACTGAAGTCGATGCTGGGCAAGGACGCTGGCACGGGACAGAGGCTCTCAGGGGCCCATAACAGGGAACAAGTGATGTGCATTAGGGGAATATTTAAACAAATAAAGGTTGAATGACGTCTTTGTTTTGAGTAGAATGATCAATTTGGTATATTTGGTTGTGTAAACAAAGTCTTAATGGCTAATATATTTGTGTTAATAGTTAAATAATGCTTATAGATGGATTGTATATTGGGTTGCCCAGGTTTTTAATGTTAACTGTTTGGGTTAAAAACCAGCCAAAGGGATTGTGACCAAACTTGCTCGTGTTATTGACTTTTAATTCAACTAGAAAGCAAAAGTAAAATTTGTTTCAACATTACTAACGCTCAAGTAGGCCTACTTCTTACTTATTTTAATTGCGTCTCATTTTTACAAGACAATACATAGGCTACATGATCAATGTTTGTTTTTATTCAATAAATAATCACCATCATGAATTTGACAGTGGAAATTCAAGTTGTACTTTTAATGTATTAAGAGTTAATATAAAAAGCATAATTTTAATCCGAATAGTTTTGAATGAAAAACTGTTCCAGGGCTGGTTCCCCCTGAAAGGTCTCACCTAAGCCTTAGATCAGGGGTGGGGAACCTTTTTCCTCTCAAGGGCCATTTCAATGTTTTCAACATCCTCCGAGGGCCGTACAAATGATTGACCTCTGCTTAAAAATACTAAAATCACAGAGCCCATTAATTTCACCTTTCCTTCATGCTGTGCAAAGAAAAAGCAACCTTTTAATCCAGATATTTTACCATGACTCGCACATGCATTCACGTGCACGGTTGTGGCATGACCACCAAAACAGAAAGATATGGACACAAGATGTGTGCAAATGTATTTAGTTTCCTATTCATGTGGACATGAAGATTTTTGCACTTAAAGAGCAACATTAAGAGATCTATGGATATATTTCCTCAACACCCATTATGAAACAGAACTGTAAGCAGATTTATTTTTCTTTTATGGATATTTTAAACAAATCACTCCCCTTTCAAACTGTATTCTTGTTTATTAATAACTTTTTGTTACCGTCATATAGTATTTTATACCTGTTTACTTTACTCTCTTATTTTTGTATAACTATAATGATCATATAAAGATGTGCCTTTACCTCACTGGTTGTAGAAAGAGCTTCTTATATTCGTTAGCATAGCTATAACCAGATGCTAATAACAACAAAGTTATTGACTGTATGATCAGTATGACAGATGAACAGATCGCCACTGGGCTTACAACTAAAGACACAGCCACGCATAAACTGCGGCATGTGTACGGCTCCTTATCGGTACTGCAATTTTTGGAAGTGCAGGAGCGACGTTCTGGTGCTCTCCGTCAGAACTGCACCCATGTCAGTCGAGACATATACCACGTGATGACACGTTAGGCTTGTGTTGTGTTCAAGGATCCCGATCTTGGCCAGGAAAAACAGGCACTCGCTAGTTTAATTTTTTTGCGGTCTAGATTTCTTTAATTTTTTCTTTTTTGCGTGTTATAAATTGTCTCGAGGGCCGTACCAAATTGTCTCGCGGGCCGTATACGGCCCGGGGGCCGCAGGTTCCCCACCCCTGCCCTAGATGTTATGAAAAGGCACTGGCCTTCTTTCATTTGGCTAAAGTGGGCCCCTGGCAGAGTGAGTTGAGTATCCAGGCTACAGGATACTCAACTCTCTGTCAAAAAAAAATCAACTAAACATTTAATAATACAGCAGCTATCATCTCAGTAGTACAATCATTTCCTTACATTTTTACTAATGTTTTAATAATTTAAGACTTGATCTCTATAGGCCTATGCTATTGGTTTTAACAATTTAAGAAGAAAAATGTATCAAATCATTTTGAATTTAACTTGCACACAACTATGAATAAACACAAACCATTGCAGAAAAAAAACCTTAAAGTTGCTGTCTGTACAGGGGCCAAATGTCAACCATCATCAGGATGTTGTGTGATAGCATCAGTGTGTGAATGGGCAGATGAAAGTCAAATGGTCAAACATGTGAATACATGCATTTACACACACACACAATCTTTAAAATTAAATGAGCTCCTCTGTAATTCTGCATTAATGTTCCAGCTTTATATTTGTGTAAATACCTACACACTTTAAATGCACTTGGGATTCCAATCAGGGCAGTTCAGGTCATAGGACAGTAATTACAAAATACCATATCAAAAAATGTCTAAACTTTACATTTATCACTCTGAATAAAAAAGGAAACAAAAAAAATAATAAGATGCCATGCATGTTGTATAATAGTAGTTTTTTCAGTAAAAGTAGTCTTCTTCCTCCGTTTTAGTGTTGAAATGGAATGCAATGACCCTCAGAAAAAGACTGAACGCAAGCAGTCTTGATTAAAATGACTAGTGTTAAAACAATCTAGGACTGTAGGCAGCATTAAAGGTCACAGAGAATATGTAGTCATTTTCAACACGAGGCACTGAGGAATTGTACTCCAACTCAATTTTAAGCAGGTCCTACTGGACAACAAAATATGTATGTGGTCTACTGGCGACAACACTTGAGAAGCCAGTGACAATGGGATTCCTGATATTCGAACATTTACAACAAACTTGATGTATTTGATTTTTTTAAAAGCATCATGTGTGAGAGAAAAAGATTCCCTGTGCCAAGGAAGTCACACGCAGTGAATTTTAGTTAATCATAGTTCAGTCCATCATGTCATTATTAACAAAAATCATGACAACCTTTGACACAGACGGTATTGGCAGCAGACTGCCAACAGGTAAAACTATTGGTATTCCACAAACACCAAGAGAAAAATGTCCAGCATTTGTAAAGTACTATAGCACATGAGCTCAATTGAAAGAAAACACTGGGTAAGAATGTTCAACATGTCATTTTCGCTTCCTTTCTAAAGGCAATGGAATAAATAGAACTGTAACAGTCAGCTCTGGTGATCACAGATGCGGTATCACTGTATTTGTGACTTTTATTTTGGACCTCAGATGTGGCAGGGCCTTCTTACTGGAGGAATGACAACTTCCTGTTTTGCCCTACAGCTAGTGTGTCACATATAATGATTGTTAACCATCTGGAGCCCGGCTGGTTTGACATTCTCAAAAGTATTCAAGCCTAAGAGAAATGCTGTGAGACTGTAGGGCTAGTCTGAGAATGCAGGAAGTCAAAAGAGTTTAGACCTTCCCTCAGATCATTTTCAGTCTCTGGCCGTCCACAGGGGAACAACATTTCTGAAAGCTCAGGTCGCTGCATGGTCGGAGGTCTCCTGCTCAAAATGGACACTCTGGAAGTGTGTGTCTGCTGGTGTTTCTAGAGAGGAAGTGTCTGTCTCATTGCAGTGGATTATCAAACACAGAGGTCTGGTAGGACAGGAGATCTTCACTTCTTTTCTGGCCAACTGTACTCCTTTGGGTAACTTTGTCTACACAAACAGAAAGAATATAAAGGGGTTAAACAGGGCCGTGTAATAAAACCAAACAGAAAATAAAAGTAAAATGCAGGGGTATCGTTCACTTGCCTCCTCACGAGTGTTCATTCATGTAAATCCCCCAGCATCTGCTCCACAAATCTCTTCAGTCACAATATCTGTACAGGGAGAACAAAAGGTAAAATACGTTAATTAATATGAACTCACCACAAGGATCCTTGAGTTTGTGCGAGTTGTAAGTGTGGTGTGTTGTGTACCTGAAGCCAGGGGCCATGAGCGGCATAAGGATGCTCCTCTGTAGCAAAAGCTCCTTCAACTCCAGTAGACACAATGTGATGGCTGTGTCTCCGTTGATGCTTTTGTAAGTGAAGTGTCTCCCATGGACAACCGGCCCCTGTAACAGAATACATTAAAAGCTTTAGAAAATACAAATGTAACGATAGGTGCCTGAGTGTTTCCTTTATTTCAGCCATACACTACTTATCTTTAAATGTGACGGTATCAAACTTCACTGGTGGAAACAAACATGTACAGAGACATCCTAACTAAACTTGTCCCATGTCAGTATCAAACACATGGGTCCTTTCCACCGTGTTTCGCTCCTACATATCTCTCCCTGTCTCACACAAAAGTCTCTGTTTAACATCGGTATTGTTCTTTCCTCAGACAGAGATAACACGAGGCAGGTTTGTCTGCCGTCTGTGCTGAAAAACATGCTTGGATGGTATTTTGTCTGCAAAATATATTAGCCACTGTGTGTACACATTCAAAAAAACGTAAATGAAAGTTGGCTGACATGGTAAAAATATATGGATTATGTGATACTAATGTACAATAAAAAGGCAACTTAACTATCGAGTTTATGATCACTGAATTTAAAGTTTTAATCCAGCAAATCATGACCTTTGTTCTTATCAAATGTCTGCAATTTGACACTTATTGTTGGGTAAGTGAGCAGAAAAGATAGTTATTATCTTAGTCATGAAGCTAATTTACAGTAATAATCTTCGCTAACGTCTCTAGTTAGCCAAGGGTCAGGAAAGACACATGTCTCAATATATTTATGTTCACTTCACTGGCTAGCTTTTATTGGAGACACTAAAGTGCTATCAAAGTGAAAGTAGGATGATGAGTTTCAAGCTGACTTGCAGAAAGCCCCTTTCTAACATCAGAGAAACTAGTGTCACCATAAATGTTCTGTGTTGTTGAATGCCACACCCATACAACAAGAATGGAAAGCCTATTTTTCATCAACCCCTCTTGGGGACATTCCGAGAGGATACATATTATATGAGAGAGAGAGAGAGAGAGAGAGAGAGAGAGAGGAGAGAGAGAGAGAGAGAGATAGAGAGAAGAGAGAGAGATAGAGAAGAGAGAGAGAGAGAGAAGATAGAGAGAGAGAGAGATTAGCGATCTAGAGACAGAATTCGAGAGAGAGCTATCGATACGCGCGATATTACGCTCCGTATCTCTACCTGCTTCTCTCGATCGCTCGCTAGAGATCTCTGCTCTCTCTCTCTCCTCTCTCTCTCCTCTGTCCTCTCTCTCAGCTCTCTCTGCTCTTCATCTTCTTCTCTCTCTCTCAGATCCAGTACCGCAGGCAGAGCGGCAGCAGTGTGCCTGACTCCTGGTTGAATTCAGATGGACGCTCTCCAACTGTCGTGTTCGGACCAACTCATGAGGAACAATGGCTGCTGAGCTCTCGCTCTCCAAACTGTCCTTCCGACTCCTAAGAAACAAATAGGGAAAGACAGCGAGACAAAAAGGGGAAACATTAGTGAGGAAGTGTATCATGGTTCAATCCTCAATGAGAGAATGGCTCTGACAGCTTATGTAAGGAAATGGCAGCTCTTTGGTAATTGTCTGGCAAAGGGAAATGGACAGACAAGATATTTCACAACTCCTTTCATGGAGCGGTAACCTTACTTGTGGCGCAAGACTTCCTCCGAAAAATAGCTACAAATTAGGGTATGCATATGTTGGCAGGAGTTGTTTTGAAGTCATATCAGTGTGTGTTTGGGTGCGTGGGAGGATCACTCACTGAGGTCTGGTCGTGGCTCGGTCCTCTGGCTGCTGATGGGCGGTAGTGCTGCCTTGGTGTTAAACTCCAGGCCTTTCTCAGAGTCTCCCTGATCTGCTCCGTGTCTGTCAACCACACACACACACACACACACACACACACACAGAGGCAACACACACACACACAAAGAGCATGACACCTGAACCCTGTGCCAGATTGGTTTTTGAGCATTCGTGGATCTGCTCAGTCCACTAATTAGAGTATCTTACCTTTTTCTGAGAGCCTCCGGGGCTGGGATCCGATGCAGATGGATCGGCTGTCCTCCTCGTCCTCTGGCGGTCGGCTCAGATCGTCCCACACACACTTGGCACTGACCCCACTCAGGTTAGAGCCCTCCGTTTCAATACCCTGATCCACCCTTTCCTGCTTGGAAAAGCAAGATAGTACGCAATCATCAACACTAGCACAATTAACACTCAGCATTTTCACTTCAGACACTGTATAACGTTTACTTGGCCAACAGGGGGCACTAAATACTGTCAAAGGAGAAAAATAATGTGAAATTTATGTTAAAATAAAACTTCATTTTCTATTAAGGGATGCCTTTAAAATGCTTTGTAGATGTCAGGGTCACTTTGAAGATGTTGGGGTCGCTTTGCCTCTTTGATTTCCAGGATACATCTTTGACAGTTAGCACTGTAATCTACAAAAGACTTGCTTTTATCTATTTATATTACAGGGAAAATCAGTTTGCTTTGGATCCCTCTCATCTGAACTCCTGACCATCTTTCCCATAAACAATGTGCACCATAACAGCAGAGGGCAATGGTTTCACACTATAAGTTATTCATTTATAGCTTTTAGCAGGGAACATAAGATTGCCGTTTATCTTACACAATAATTCGGGGAGTGGCAGAGCTTAATAAAGCCTTACTTGTAGGTGTGGGTCAATGTCAAAAATGGTCTCCCCTCTCCTCATGTCTGTGATTAGCCAGGGGCCGCCAGCTCTGTACACAGGACAACCATCAACATTAGTCATTCATAAATGTTTAACACCGAGTTAATCAATGAACAAGTAGCTATGTGCTTCAATGGCTGATCACAATGCATTTCTAAAACTGGAAACTATACATTGTACTTGGATCTGGAGTGGCATGTACTTTATTCGTTTACAATAAATAATAATCTTTATCTCATTTATACTATACAACTAAAATAGTTGTGGTCTACATTGTTTCAAGGTTAAAGTTAAAAAATAAACTAAAGACTTGTGCCAGTTGTATTTACTGCAAATCTTTGTCACATATGATATTTTCTAAGATTGACATTAATATGAACCTGCGTTGCTCTGACTTCTGAACGATCACTTATGAACAAGGTAGCAACAAAATAGAAGCTTACCTAATAAACCAGAGCCCAATATGTGAAGTATCACTTATCTTAAACATGACTTTGTTGTACTCACAGTCTGACTCCTCTCATCAGCTCCAGGATGCCTTGGCCGTTCCACTGCTGGGCCGCCTGTAGCTCCTCCGTACAAACGCCCACAATCTGTAGGAGACAGGAGGCAACTCTCTGAGTACTGCTTACTACTGTGGCTGTACTACTGTATTCCTATACATTACAACAATAACCAAATCTGTAGGTTGTACAAATGTCATTGACAAATTATTCCTAGATAGGGTACTGTGGCTGTTTGAGCATCTCTATTGTTGTTTGGTTCCACTATTATGTAATATTAACTAAATGTCACAATGAGTTAAGCAGTGTGCGAAAAAGTAGTAGATCTTTCAATTGACTTGTCCGGTTTTTCGCCCCGATTTATTGACAAATTATTGATAAATTCAGTTTACAAAAGGCAGAACTCATTCGCAAATTGTACGTGTCCGCCATTGTTCGTCTAGAAATGTTAGTTTCGGTTCCGTTTGTCGATTCCTAAGGAAATGCATCTCGCCGCTTTCTGTACTGTTAGACGGGGGCGGGGCGGGAAGTGTAGCACAGTGGCAGGGTTGGGAAGCAAAACTCGGTTCCGAGTAGGAACAAATAACAATTGTCCGGTACCGGGATTAAGAGTTGTGAGGACAGGAGGCGAGGCCGAGCCCCGCGGACTGCAGCTCTCTCTCTCTATGCTCCGTATCAGCTGATCGCTGCACGGTGCAGCTCAGCGTCTCTCTCTCTCTCTTTCTACACAGCGGATCCGCTGCCTGTTTAACAGCCTCATCTTTGTCAAACTTTCTTATGTTCTTTCTCTAACACGTAATGAAGGTTATTAAGCGTTTTAGCTCCTGTGTTGTTAATATTGACCGCCATTTCCTTTATGAAGTAAAGCAGCCTGTCTGTCTGTCCTCACATCCCCAGACTCGGAGGAGCACAGGGATGTCAGTATTGTTTATGAAGCAGGGTATAGAAAGTACATTTATTGAAATGAAAATACTATTTATTACTTTTACAAACAGTGAGCAGCTGCCAGCATGTGTATTGCAGGACATGTGTAAGCGTGCAAGCGTCTTTGAGTTGTAGACAAGCGCTAGGCCTATAGGCTATAAATATAATGTATTATTATTATTATGCCTATGTGTTGGACATGTGTGGTTGGACTCTGTCTCACAGGCAGGTTGCAGTGTAACATCAGAGGAGACTGGGCCAATTGTACATTCTCAAACTGCACCACTTAGAACTAACTAAACAATGCAGAGATAATTTTTATACAATTGTATTCAATAACCGTAAGAAATTAAACAGTATGAAGTGATTTGTAAATGGGAATACAGATTTGACTCAATGTTTTCATAAATATATTTTTCTCCCAGTTTGTCATGGGACTTATTTTTACCCTCTCAAAGAACCGGAATCGAGAACCGAAAATAACCGGAATCGAAAAGCAGAACCGGAATCGTTAAAATCCAAACGATACCCAACCCTATGTGTGATGCAGTCAAATCTTACCGCTCACTTACGTTAGCGGTGTCGTAAAAACCGTGGGAAAATGTAAAATACGATGACGAAGAAGAAGATTCCAGTGGCCCCAATTTTTGTCCATTCTGGACAAGTGAAAAATATATTCGGACAAGTAAATTGCCAAACTCACTTGTCCATGGACAAGTACTCTCTAAAAACGTTCTCACACTGGTTAAGTCTCCTTCATAATAATGTATTCATTTAACAATTCAACTGATATGACAACTTGACACAAAGAAGACAGACACTACAACAAGTTGAAGGCCCCTGCTGTTACACATATAATGAATTGACTAATTTCCATAAACCTACTTAAAGAACAAGATTAGTGTACACACATTTTTGGGTAAAAGATCTATAACTTTACTGGAACAAAACAGAATTGTATTATGGATACTTAAATTACGTGAATATCACATGTTTGAACTGACCTGGAGAAAGCTCACTGTGCCAAACGGAGTCAGAACGGGTTGCATCTGTGGATCCTCTGTCAGCAACATGTGCTGGATACGAGATTCACTGTTGTCTAGTGGACTGTGCCATGATATATGGTCGCCACTACAAAATGTGTTTTCTGTAGAAGAGAGGAGAATTATTTAAGTATGGCAAAACATGATTTCAATTGTTTTAAGATACACACTATTTCACAAGTCGTACAAGTCCAACTTTCTTTCTTATCGTTAACTGGTGGTACAAAATCGCTGAAGACAAGTTGTTGCAGTAACAATGGCAGAGAGAGAATTCTAGAACCAAATGGGGCACAAAAAGAATAAACTACATTTCCATCTGAGGAATCTGTCTGCTTGGGAGGTAACCAGCACCCTGTCTAGATTCGATGCAGGAGAAAAGCAAGGGGGAAGATGGCCAGGAATCAGCATTCATGCTCAGGAGAGCAGCCCACCCACGCGCAAATTGACCCCAGCTGGATAGCAGAGAAGGGCTGGGTGGAGAGGAGAGGGGAGCCTGGAGCCTTCTTCTCTTTCACAACCTTTAAACCCCCTTCCCCTCTCAACCAAACTTGTTTGTGTACATTATAATACACGACTTAGGGATTTAAAGAACTTGGCAGCACAGACTATACACAAAGAGTATACATTTACACACTACAACAGCAGTCTTTGCCATTGGCGAAAATAATCCTATTAAAATGGTGAAGGGAGAGAAAGGGGAAATTAGACTTCCTGTCAATACCCTGAGCTCCAGCAAACACAAATAATGTGCGCTAAACCTAAGCCGGCTGCCAGCAGCACACTCCTCTATTCTCGCGTGTTTGAATGTACAAGCGGCCTTTACAAAGAACACATTCTTCGCATTCAGACGTGAGAAGGAAGCATGCCAACTGTAGCTGTAGAGAGTTGTTCTATCATATCCTGCGTAGATGAATCATTTACCAAACTAATAACAAAGGGTGACTAAAGATACAACTAAAACTTCACCTCTTTGTCACACAGCATTATCCAGGTAAAGGGTGAAAATGCAGGACTGGAACTAACCATGTTTTTATTATCTCTTAATTTGTTATCTCCGCCTAGACAATGACATTTCCAGCGCCCAATTAACGTGTCAAATCAAGTTTGATGTCACTAATAGCTTTAAATAAACTAAGAACAGCATTTCATATTTTGAAAAGCCAGATATCATAATAATAATAATAATAATAATAATAATACAGAATCTGATGAGTATTTTAAGAATTAAATCAAAATGGTTGCCTTTGATTTTGTCGTCAATCATTAATGCTGGGAAAATATTCATAATAAAAAAAATTGTAAGAGATCACTTGTTATAATAATAGAGCATAGCATAGAGCATAAATTAAATGGCTTGCCTTTAGGTGTTTAAAATGTGACGCTTAATAGTAAGGCTGTAGTTTTTGCACATTTGCTTGGAAATAATCAACAGCAAAAGGTCAAAACTGCCTCTGATTTCTAGGTATTTGTCCATCTAAACAATTATCAAAGGGGGAAAACGTTGTGTGATTATGTATGTAAAAACCCAAATTGTATACATGGGGTCAAAAATGTGCCCGTGAAAAAAGTAATCAATGTTCTACACTGTGTTTTTCACCCCCCTAACCTCTGTGCTCTTACCTGACTGGAATACATAGCGAGCCAACCCCTGCATGAGTTCAGCCGGCCAGGTTGGTGGTGCCGTCTCTCCCGTCTCTCTTTTGAGTCTAAAAGTGAGCTCAAAACCAAACCCACTGGGTCCGTCTGTCCCTGTGAATCTAACACACACAATAAGAAACTGGGTAAACAAAACAGCAGGAGCATCCCTTTCATTTTTTATTTCATGCATGAGGGTTGGGGATATCACAATGCATGACTTAGTCAGTAGTTGGTATATTATTTAAGGGCTTCTGACAAGCAAATATTTGGCTTACTTCGAAAGACTTAATTTGATATACAAATGTCCCAGAGTGCTCACAATGTAAAATGAAACAGATCAAAATACATGTGTTAAAGTTACCCCAACTCCCATGTGCAACAGGAAGTCAAGTATTTACATTAGGTACTTACTCGTGAACCCGATTATCCCCGTACAGGTCACTGAGTCCAAAGCTGACATAGTGCCAATGCTCCTGGATGTCCTGAGCCGGAGAGCCCGCACTGCGATACATACTGATGTAGTCTAACGGGTCAGGACCACCTAACCTGTGGGGAAAAGTGTGACTGTTATTCTCACTGGACTGTCTTTTGCACACCTATGTAAAGACAAAAGGAGACAATTACTTGTGCAAAAGTAGTCAGTTACAGCTAGCTTAAGTTGTTTTTATTCAAGCTACTATAGGTGAATCATTTAACTCTCCAATAACAAAGTAGCAGTTTCGTACAGTACGGTTCCTGTGCATAGTTAGCTGAACGTTTAGCTTAGCAGCTAGGGTAACTACTGGCTAAATGTCCAGACATCACCACTAAAGTTGTCCCACAAAGTTAGTGCCTCCAGATGTGTCAGAACAGCAACAAAACCTACCAATATTTTACAATGGCGGTCACTTGAAGCGGGTTGGCCTGCTCGGGGTAAAGTCTCCGGCATTCCCCGTAGATAGCCTGCAGTCCAGGGGGAAACATCGGCACCAGTCCGTGGGCTGGAGCCCCACTGGTAGGCCGTACCTCATCCATGCCACGGCCTCGAACAAAACTGTGTTTTCTATACAAAACAACGAATGTGCAGTTATATTCTGCTATCTACGCCTAGTTCAACATAAACAACACCGCCCTAAATAATAAAGGCTTCACAAAACTAATGTTTACCGACAGAATAAAATGATTTTTAGCCCAAACCGCTGAGCACACAGCAGGGAAACAGCCTGTTGCTCATCCTCTACACAAACCACCTCCCCATTGGCTGTATGAGGGTCATGACGTCGTTGATTGACAGCTACTTATAGCGAATACAAATGGGTTTTAAGGTTTGTGTGGATTTGTTGCTAATTTTGATTGGCTGATACACTATCAATCAAACAGTAGGCAGATGTGATTTTAGGGTTGGGCTTTTAAAGTTGTTCAGTGGCCAAATTTAAAGTGTTTGAAGACGTATTGATATTCTTTATTTATGTAAAATTATATATCTATACTTTATAACATACTTGAGAAAAGAGCAAAGAGGTTTTTATCACCAACACAAGTATTACATCTATTAAAATACAATTTTAAAAATATACTTGTAGACGTTTCTCATTTTCATTTTTGGCAGTATAACTATGTGTGACCTAAGTCAGTGTTACCTACATCAGTCTTAAAAGTCCTCACAACATCATACTGTTTTGTATCTTATACGTCTAAAGTTACATCTGGTAATTATCTAAGATTCCCATTATATTTTAATGGAAAAGTATGTTGACTGTTTATCTTATTGTTTATAGCTAATATTGCTGATTGCCATCACCATGGCTGCTTTAATGGTACTAGAGCTGAGATAAGCCCTGAAAAAACATGTGTGGCTTTGAAGTGGCAAGGTCTGCTGAAAAAAAACTGTCCTTAAATGCTCTATTGCTTGGTTTCGTCTTATTTGAATGTTGCAGGATTTAAAATTGAAACAAAACATTAATAAATAACAGAAGAGAGTCAATAAATTACAGAGGAAAATCATTTGACTTGAATTGACTTTATTAACAATAACATGATTGATAAGCTGTGATCAGTAATTTACAAATGTGTTTATTTTTATTCCTGGTGACGTATGCAATTAGAAAGGTAACAATGAATACAATCATACATACAAAAGTGATGCGTATTAAACCCAATACACACTGACTGTGTATTGTGTAATAACTTTAAACCACACATGAATGCTTTCTGATGATCATGATTTCTGCTCAAGGGTGCTGTGCAGTAAGGCTGAAAACTAGTACCATTCCAAAAGAACTAAGCCCATAGATGACACCTGAACACACCACCATCTATGGAATTCAGTTCTCATAGTACAGCACTTAAAAGGTTGGTCCTCAGGAGCCTCGAAAGATCTTTGAACACTTAATTATCCGTCATAACTCATGGTTCTTCATCAATACTCTTTTCAAGTACTGCCCGGTTTTTTATAAAATAAATAAAAAATATTCTTGTACATAATTAATAAAACCTCTGTGATTAACAATAGAAGTGGGCTTAAGATACATGCTATACAAGATGTTAAGCAGAACGTAGACGTTGAGTCACTTTCCCTTTTTCTCAAGAAAAGCAGTGATGATGGATGATAATGTCAGACCTGCTGTTTTCATTGGAATATCAAGCAAGAGGCAACTAATGTTGATCTTAAACAGTGATGAATCATAGTTGGCATTTGCATTAGTATTGCAATACATTTTAAACAGACATATTTTAACAAAATTGCATCAGATTATGTAAGGAAATAAAAACAAAGTGGAATACAAATCTCAACAATGTTGTTATAATTGAATGGATCGAATGCTGTGGTTGTAGAGTTTCAGGGTCGTTTGAGGAAATCCAACCATTTTAACCTAAGTATTCCTGTAAATGCTCTTCAGCCACTGAAATGAAAGTATGTCCACTAGGCTGATGCAAGCAATGAATCATATCACTGTGATAGTGCTCTGTTGAAACGAGAAATGAATCATCATTTATGGCCGTACACTCCCAGGAAAAAAGAACTTTGGGACAATGGGATTACTGATATTCAGTTGTTCAATGTATCTTTGACCCCTCCAAAGTGAGTTTGATATTAACTATTGAGAATCTCTTCCTTCATCTTCAAAAACACCTCATTCAAGGCCAATTACGAGTCAATATTGACAGTGACAGTACCGTGAGATAATTCTACAATGTTATCTCAGTCACTGTGGTTTATTCAGTATGAGTGTACATTCTTTTAAGGTAGGCTACATGTAATACAGTGCAGTGAACTTTCTGAGGAAGGCCACACCTGTAAATGTTCAGGAAACTGCTATCTTTCCGGGTAGTTGGACTGCACCACCGGTTCTACAGCTTATTACTATAATATAATTCCTGTAGAGACTTAATTCAGTCCTTAAAGCCTGCACTAGTTTAAACAGCTGCCAGCGCTCAAAATGTGGAAGTTGGTAAGTACTCTTTTCTACCAAATAAAACAGTTATAGTTTAAACATGTTGAAAAGTAGACTGTAAGCATTTCTGATATTCTTTAGATAACATGTCCCTAGTATTATTTTTTTAGATTGACCATCATTTGACCAATTTTCTGCCTATATACTTACCCAAGTAAATCACTGAAACTTTTCTCTTCAATCTGGGGTGTATAAGAAAATACATCTCCTCATGAAGCATTCCAGGACTGTGCTCTTGCAGGGTCGAGCTTTAAAAGATCTTCAGCAGTCCCATCTCAACAAGAAGATGTGGAATCAGCAACACGTGTCTAAAAATGAAATGAACATAACCATCCCACCTGCTTGTAGGCCTACTGCTCACTCTCCCATGGCGTCCAAGTCCCCTGGAAGGATTCAGCATACTGTCTGGCATTCAGAGCAAAGCACTTTAAATACCACCATCATTCACATCACCCATCAGTCTCCCTCCCCTCTTATCTGTTTTTCATACGCTCCCTCTGTTCGGTAAGCCTAACAGTCACTTCCCAGTAAGAAGGAAACAGTGGGAGTGGTGAGCAGCACGCCCCCTCACAATGAATCAACACATAATAGTTTCTGAGGAAAACCATCTGAGTGGCCCTGCCCCCTGTTCCCATAAAGTAAGCAGGGTAAAGGCTGTCTACTCGAGGAACCAGGAATTCCCCCACAGGCCGTGAACAGCTGTCGAAATGAGAGTCGATGACGAAGCGGACTCACTGGAAGTTTGCTGGCCGGGCATATGCAAACAGAAACCATGATGGGTGTTTTGTACTTGTGTAAGAATGAAATAGTCTTTATAACACTGACTGCAGTGTACATAATAAGTAAGCGGAAATTCTATCCACGCACTGTGGTTGTTGAAATGATGTGTCATGTTTGAGCTGTTGTTTCCTAGAAGAAAAAAAACATGTTTGCTAAATATTATTTATCAAAAGGGAAGTGTGGACTTGCGTCATAGCCTTGTTTATGCTAAGATCCATTTATTTGTGTAGCTGGAATCATTCATTCAGGTGAGTTCTAAAAGGTCTTCAATAACACAGCCTTCCTAAAATAACTTTGTTTGTTCTCTGGTCACAGTCGACATGACAGGGATGTGATACTGATTGTGTTCAATCAGCCGATAGCTATATTCAAACAGTTTGGTTTTTCATTTACCCTGTAAAAACCTTCTGGCTTCCTCGTCCTCTTTGATGAGTCACATCAGATACGAGAAACAAGTTTGAATTTCAGGCATACTTCCCTCAGAAAAAAAGCCCTGCCAAAAGTAATTCAACTGATTTCCTTGATCTGGACAAAAAGGGGAATCCACATGGTGTTGGGAAAATTACAACATAGTTCCCTTCCTGTACTTACATGAATCTGTAAATATATCCTGTGTGTACATACTCATTGTAATGTGTCATGTCTTTCGGCTTAACAATTGAGCACACCCAAATTACGTGGTGACATTAACCGAAGGTAAGAAATAGACAGCAGCAAGAGGAGCTGTTACTTGAATTAGAGGTACAGAGACCCCATAGAGTCCCACCATTGATGTGCAGTGACTCTAGAATCCACTTTCAAACTACATCCTTGGGCCGGTGGGATAAGTTGCAATTGACATTTTGCGCCAGACTTCAGAAACAAGCCTGGCTTTCATGCTGCTGTTTGAACGCTGGGGAAATCACTCGCAAAAGGTCACTGAGCCCATTTCCTTTCTATCCTCTTCATGCATCTAAAGACCTGTAATAGCCCCTTTCAACTGCACTTCACTTTCTGGCAGACATATTCAAATGTCTATATAGGAAGTGAAAGATAGGTAAACCAAAGAGTAAAAAGGGAATGAGATAGCAGATTTTATTACAGCTTTACATTGTTTTACCATGGTTTCTCTAACATACAACTTCCCATCTTGAAATAAAGGACTTTCTGTTTCTTTTGTTTGCATTAAACAGTGCAGTATTCTTCTTTAACAGTTATTACATTAATAAAGCTGAATTTTAATCCTGAAGGCTGCTTTGCTTATTTAAGTGCCCGTTGCTTTTTGAAACGTAGGACTACTACATGTCTCTGAAGTCCTTCTTCTCCATCCCACAAGTGATCCAAAGAGAAAATGCCCCTCTGCTCCACAAATGTCTCAAACAGGTGCAGTCCACCGCCCACACCAAAGTAATGGGATTTGGTGGCGACGTAGACCAGTCCATCTGGTGCCAGCAGCTTGTGGAGGGTCTTGTGTAGCGATGGGTAGTATGCAGTGTTGTAGATAGTCTCTGAGGTGAATATAAGGTCGTATTTGGGTTGTGGATTCTCCTGTTTAACCAAAGCAAGAAACGTGCACCAGTCACCGGAGAAAAAACGACACTTGGCTAGTAATGGTTGCTGGGATAGGTCTGTGGCTTTTTTCTTAGGTGGTGGATTGCCATCTTTTTCATCTTCTTTGTCTTTCCCCTCCTTTTTGCAACCATCATCCTCCTTCATTTTGCCCTTGCCCCTCCCATCTTTGTCATCGTCACTGTCTACTTCATTCTCCTCCTGGCAGTTTATTATCACATTTGGCACTGTAAGCTGCTCAATAACTGTACTGTTATAATCTTGGAAGTGGACCTGTCTTGCTCCTCTCTGCAGAGCCAATATCCCCAACAGCCCCGCACCGCAGCCCAGATCCAAAACCACCTTCCCCCCGAAGGTCTCTCCGTCTTTCTCAATCAGCTCCAGAAGGTCGTAAGTGCACTCCCACACCTTCAGCCCTCCCTCGTACACGCCAGATATAAGATCAGACCTCTGCTCCGCGGTACGAGAGAGGATTCTCTCGTCGTCCTCTCTCTCCGAAGCAGTTTTTTCAAAAACAGTCTCATTGAGGAAGTGAAGAGGAGGGAGTGTTCCTATGGTAACTGATTCAGTGACAGCATCCCTAAGGATGAACTGTGGGTAAGACAGTGGAAGGTGCTCTTTGGCCTCTTTCAATGGCTCGGCAGGTTTGGTATCATCCTCCGTCTGAAAATACAAAGCAGTTTGCATGGGCAGGAAATAAATGTCTACAGCACACGTTATGTGGTTCAAGTTAAAAATATCATTTGGCAGTACAGATATATAATTCAGCAATACAATGAGGCTGTGTGGGCTGGAGGCAGAAACTCAGAGGACAGGAATGTCCGGATTAAGATGACCATGATCCTCACAGAGATGTCCATTGAATTGTATTGCTCATAAATTGTTGATGTGTGTAAATGAAGTAACAACATGATCACTAGTTTTTTGAAAACAGTATTCTAAAACTAAATAAATTAAATATTAAAACAGTCATTTAACATACAGCAATTTCTCACTTACAATTCCTAAGAACCAATATTAGTAGTGGTGATGTTGAAACACTGCTTTTTGAGGCTTTGATAACTACATTGAAAATAAGTCTAATCAACTCCAAGTTTCATTCAACTTGTCTTATGTGACATCTGCTGGTGAAATTAAGGTTGTCAGGCCAAATGTAGGAACTTGAATTTAAACAAATATAAAAGAGTGCCGTTTGATTAGATGATAATTGGTTTACAAGGATACTACAGGCAATGTACCTTATTTATTTGAATTCTACATGTATATAAGTAACTTAAATATCTATATTTTATAAAAAATATGCTCCACTAATTAAGACTGATTGACTGGCTAATGATTTAGAGAATATTATGTGTGCAGTGGTCGGTCTAAATGTTAATGCAGTCCCATTCACCAGAGCACAACAGTTTAGATTTTTATTTTCCTCTGAACTTTGATTTTAGACACTACACTAACAACTCAGTAGTGACTCAGGTACTGATCATACAATCAGTATGAATGAGTTTTTATCAGTCCTCTGCCCTGTGACCTCAAGGCTCGTGGCAAAGAGCATGTCAACCTACGCTCTCTAGTGGATGCACACCTAACACCATTTACATTTTCATTGTTGTCAAGTTGGAATCATACAGCTGAAATGACTTGATAAGTGAATATGCATGAATGACTTGGCTGATTTGGTCAATTTAGGAGAGGTTTAGGGGGTTATTGAGCTATCTCACATCCTCAAAAAACAACTCTATGTAGGGGCGTGTGGCGCAGTGGTTAGAGCGTTGGTGTTCGGCTCAAGGGAGCACAGGTTCAAACCCCACTGCATGTCGTTGTGTTCCTGGGCAATACACTTCACCCCAAATTGCTCCTGTGGGGATTGCCCACAGTATTGAGTATGTAAATCGCTTTGGATGAAAGCATCTAACAAGTGACATGTCATGTAATGTAGATAATCCAACCTTTCCTACCTACCTTATGCATATAGTTTGTGTCTGTTTGTGATATTTTCCTGTATCTATAATAATAAAAGAAAGGACGATCATCATATCTTCATAGTTGGATAAATCCCAAAATCATTACCATTTCATCCTTGGATTTAGTCTGACCCCTTATTTGCAAAGACAATGATATAAGAATAAACTGAATTATTCATTATAATGTGTAAACACCACCTTAAGGAATGTAACTTAAGAAACTGTAGCACTCTTCTAAATGTAAAATAAACATGTGCAACAGGCAATGAGCTAAACAAAACTGTAAGTAGATCTAGATTTTTTGTAGAATAAACTTTCACGAGCAATTATGAATGTCTAGTTTGGCTGTTTGCTTTGGTGCTGTTCTTGACTACTTGTACCCCTTTAATCGTTGGAATCTCTATAGATGTGATTGTGAATGCAATGTGGATGTTGTACTGTAATACATGTGTAATTAAAATAGAAGAGAAGGGTCTATAAGCCTAGTGCGAGGGTCCTGATTTCCCACAGTCCCAAGCCTTTATAAACGTATTCACGCCACTGCATGAACACATCATGGCGCGTATTGTATATTTCTTTAAATATTGACCAAATCCTTGCCATCAGGTCAGTTTGCTGAAGTCCATAAAGCACTACCTGACAACTTTGAGTACTTAATCTCAAACACATTGTTTGTGAGGTAATGTTACTCACAGATTTAGCTGCAATCTCTATTTTTTCTTTTTGCACTTTATATCCATCGTCTCCGTCCGGGTTGGTTGTTAGTGCTGGAAGGTCAAAGTTAAAGCAAAAGGACATTATGACAGTCAACACAGCACAGCTAGCTGTAGCTCAGAGGCTGGAAAGTTGGTATCCCCGCTCACTGCTGCTGGCTCCACATGGCAAGCAAGAGTATCTAAGCAGACAGCTGCGTGTAAGAACTACATATCCCAGAAGTCTGCCAATCAAAGTAACCGAAAACGTGTAACATTTCTGTTGTTATAGTGGATAAATGGTTTCAAGTTAGGTTTGTTCGGGTTTAGAGGCATATGGTTGTACGAAATGCAAAAACAGAACTATACATTGTTGAAGAAACTCTCCGTATCTGAATGTCATTTCCTGACTCAGACTACCATGATGCCTTTCGATGTGATTCTTGCGCAGGCGCAGTTGCTCTGGATCAGGATTGAGATTTGTTAACTGTCACAGAAGGTGTCTGGTCCTGCTCTTCTTTGCTAATATGTGCCAATAATACAATTGTTGCTTCCCTTTTGGAAAATGTCGACGGGTGGGACGGTTTCGGCAGGATTTTTGCCATCATAGAACAGTGAGTATTCTCTCTAAAAATATGCAATGTTATTAAATATCAAAACGCAGCACACAGCGTCGGGTACGCAAAGGAAAACATTGAGACATCCAGACAAAAGGGATTTGGGAGGCTTAGGTTCGTGTTGACAGCTATGTTTATTATGGACACATCATATGTTATCGCTTTCCAGTGACGATAGTTTAGCTAGTAATCTTGCAATGGCATTATAATAAACATTGGCACATAGCATTTCCTGATGGTGTGAAGCTGAATTTCTGCTGCTGAGTAAAGTCAACTGTACTTCAGCCCACTGCCCCTGTCACCACACCTCAGGTGACTGCTGCACCTTCTCCACCAAACCCAGACTCCACCCCGGCTGGAATGCAGCAAAGCAACTAGGCTTTTCGCCAGCCCTTTTCATTAGTTCTTGTATGGTTACCTCTATATTTCTATTTTATTCACAAGCGAATGCTCTGGCTTGTTCCTCCAGCAGCTTGACCGTTGTTTTGATGAGGTTAAAGTGTCAGGGGTCAAAGAAAGATGTGCTGAGTGTTGAAAACAACTTAACTAAAGAAGGAAAGTTCTCTGGTCGAAGGTTCAGGCATTGGTAAGTTGGATACATTGAGGTGAAACTACTTCAATAATCTATTAACGTTTTGTGTTAATCACTTGTCAAACTTTTATTAGGATTTTTAAAGTGCTATTACAGGTAATATCTTGGTATGGTATTGTTTATCAAACAAATAAAAAAACTGTCACCTTGGCTCTAAGACATTGCAAGAGATAATTTTCACTTTTTACATAGTATAGAAGACCAAACCATTAAATGGATAACACGAGAAAATATAAAGCAGTTAATGCAATAGTAAATGCAACCTTTCGTTCTTTATCTCCTTTAGTTATCTCCTTTAGTTTAGTTAGTTTTCATTTCCATTTAGTTATTTCTTGATATATTATGCAATCAGTGTAACAATTTATTGAAATACATTTTATCATATTTGACTCATTTTAACTAAATCTGTTTATTTGATTGTTTATTTGTTTTCTTTATTTTATTTGCAGGTGCGTGCATATTGCAGATGCAGAATGCGGTGGTGTCCCAGCTCATCGTTCCACCTGCTGCGGTGTGTGCGGTTACGGACCTGTACCAAGAGAAGAAGAAACACACTGCCACTGTGGATTAGGGAAATATGGGCTTACATCAGACTGCTGGTGCAGTCATTTTACTTTAACTCCCTCACAGACTCAGATGTGGTTTTCGACTCAGTCTTTGAGCCAGTGTTTTGGACTGTGGATTATATTACACGCTCGTTTGGCACGGTGAGTGTGTGTTTGTCTGTGTGCTTTCATTAGTTTTGAGGAGTTTTGAAGTTTTTCTCTGAAGAAAGTTTCTGTGGGTGTCCCCTGTCTTTGTCCTACAGGTGTTTGTATTTCTCGTGGTGGTTCTGACCAGCTCCATCTTGGCGATAGCCTACCTGTTCGTCCTGCCTATGGTCTTCCGCACATACTCCACAGCATGGATTACCTGGCACGTTTGCTATGGACATTGGAACCTGGTCATGATTGTTTTTAATTACTACAAAGCCACCATGACTCACCCTGGGCACCCTCCCACAGTAAGATATTCACTTTTCTACATAACCACATGTAGCTCTACTAATCTGTGCTTGATGCTTAAATGAGTTATGCAACAACATGTCTTCTTTCAATTAGGTAAAAAATGACCGTCCATTTGTGTCAGTCTGCAAAAAATGCATCATTCCCAAACCAGCAAGAACCCATCACTGTGGTATCTGTAACCGGTGAGTCAATGTCTTTGTATTTCTCTTCTAGTATTTCCTTAATTAATGCATGGTTTGTATATCTCATTTGGATCATGTTTCTTTACCACCATAGCTGTATTTAGATATTTTCACATATTTAGCGATTTTGATAATATTTCAATAAATTGTTTCTTGCCTCATGTTAAGCAAGGAAAACTATTGTCTATATACGTTTCAGACTGAATATCTTCTTATTCCTTTGCAGATGCATTCTGCGTATGGACCATCATTGTCGTATCCTTTGTGCTAACATTATCTCAAATGGTTTTTGTTATTTGATAACAAATAAATGGTGGTTTTCCTTAATGTCACCATGTCAGCCTGGTTGAATAACTGTGTGGGCCATTTAAACCACCGCTACTTCTTCAACTTCTGCCTCTTCATGACCATGGGCTGTGTTTTTTGTAGCATCAGTGGCAGAAACCTCTTCCTGGATGCATACAATGCTATTGAGGTAAGATGCCCACACTCACATTGTTGGCCTGATCAGGGTTTTGCTCTGGCAATCATTGTTAGTTACTCGGTATAGGTCTGGTACTTTTCCAACATGCCTGGTGCCTGGTTTCTATGCGGGGCTTTACTGTTCCTTACTGACACTGCCTTGTTTATGTCTTTAACACTTTGGGTTTGTGTATGCGGGCTGTTCCATTAGCGCTTTAAACATACGGATGTGGAAAAGCCGGGGGTACCAGTGACAGGGATGGGAGTTCTCATAGGGCTCCTCCCACCTGGCCAGGTAGAGTCTCAAAGTGCACATAGAACAATTATAAATAAACTTATGTATTATTATTTTGAAATGATCTAATATGTCCCATTTTGCATTTTTCTCAAGACCAACTATCAGACAGCTGCACCTCCGTACACCTTTAAGGATAAGATGATTAATAAGAGCATCATCTATATGTGGGTGCTGACCAGGTAAAATATGCATTTCATTTTGCCACTTGCCATACAAAGGACAATGCTATCTAGTACACAAGTTCATAATACTAACAACTTCAAATCAAGCACTGTGTATGCAGTTCACACTGAAAGAAATACAGTGTAAACAGTCAGTAGTTTATATTGTGACGTGGGAGTTGTCTAGTATTATCTTGGCAGAGGATCAAATTAAAAGTTTCTTCTTATTTTAGCACTGTTGCCGTGGCACTGGGAGCTCTGACCTGTTGGCATGCAGTCCTCATATCCAGAGGAGAGACCAGCATCGAAAGACACCTTAATCACAGAGAAAAAGAACGGATGGAAAAACGAGGAAGGGTCAGCATGTTAAATATCTTCTATATGAAAAACATTTAATTTGGGTAATCTTTTTTACATGATAGTCAAAAGTAAATTATTTGTCTTGTAAATGTTCTCTTTCTTTTTTCTAAACTGCTCTGCCAGGTTTACAAAAACCCTTTTGACTATGGAAGGCTAAATAACTGGAAAGTGTTCTTTGGCGTGCAGAAGAGAAGGTGCGTCCCCCTGATAATGAATCTCATGCAGCATCAATAATCAACGTTACCTTGCACTGCTTGTAACCTGTTCTGCTTTATCTTTGTCTGCAGTCACTGGCTCACACGTGTTCTCCTTCCCTCTGGACACACCCCATCTGGGGATGGTCTGACATGGGAGGCCTTCCCAGTCAAAAAGGATGTAATACCTGTATGACAGACTCTAATCAGGAATCCATGGAGTCTATTTTCAGCTGTTTTTGCTGTGTACAACCCACTCTGGTTCTCTGGCTGGTTGGCTTAAAGGATCCTTGCAGTGTGGCTTCACACAGTTGAAGAAATTGGATAATGTTAACCTCCAATACCTCAAAACGTACAGTGGCATTGCTCATGGTTGGACGGTGTACATTTTTCTACAAGTAAAAGAGCAAGGTATCATGGATGGTTTATTCTCTACTGGGTTTTAAAAAACGGGTCTTTCTTGACTCTAAGTGTTGTAAATACTGCAGAACCCAGAAAATGTATTATTTATCTGTATTTTGTACCTGTTTAGTTAATAAATCTTTATAAAGTGCTTTACTTAAACAATGTGTCACATTGAATATTCAGATATTACTTAAGATGGACATTGCATTTTATAACACATACATAAATTGCATGTAAAAAATAACTGGTAAATTACGGTAACATGTTTATTTAGCTAAAGAGCAAACAAGCTACAGCTCAGGAGTTATGTCACACTGTTGCTTACGCAGACAGACCCAGAAACATGCTGCTGGTAGAGAGGGATTTTTGAGATGCAGATTTGTTGTGCAGATTCATATGAATGTTAGATCAGAAAACAAGCAGTAAGGATGCACACAGATGAAAACAAAAGAATAGAGGAGACGTGAAAATGTTCCCCTCCTAATTGAGCAACATCCGGCTGGCATTAAAATGATTCCAAGGAAATATATTTTATATAATATTTATGCATTTGATAAGAAAGCCATCAAGCAAATGAATTGTGAGCGTGTCAGCTACAGGGTGGTGCAACAAATAGAGATGGCAGATAAAGGGAGAAAAGATTAAGGGAGGGTAACAGATTTGAGCCGGTTTGCAACCCTTTTCACACTGCCACCACTCATCACATCCCCCACTCTGTCTGAAACAGACTTTACACACACACACACACACACACACACACACACACACACACACACACACACACACACACACACACACACACACACACACGCACACACAGCTGTCAGTATTCACTCCTCCAGCAGATGTCAGTGTTCATCATGTCAAGGTTGGACAAAAAGTGTACAGTGTGTTCCCAGGATAAAGATAATTGACAGTAATACAAATAAAAAAACATGTTTTTAGACGTTTTCTATAGTAAGGAAACATTAGCTTTTATTTGTGATGATTAAACGGAATACTGTTCATTTATTTTGAACTGTACCTGCATGGAGTTACATGGTTGTGATTGCATGGACACTCAGTGTGACATGCTATTATGAATGCTTCGTATGGATTTATAATGGCCATCTCAAGGTTTGGCTAAGCATAATTGATATGGTGCAAAAACATCCATCAAATTCTTTATTATCATATGTACAAAAGATACATTGCAGTCACAGGCTCCCCAACAGTGCAACATGCAATTAAGACAGAAAGAAATATAGAATTCAAGTATTGTAACTAAACAGTTCAATTGACACGATGGTACCATTACAGTTGCAGAAATATGTAAACTATTTGTAAGATAGACTAAGCTAACAGAATGTAGAATTAAAGACTGTAGAGTCAGTAGTGCATTTTGTAATAGTATACACTGTTCTGGACTGTATACAGATATGTGCTGTGAACATAAGAAATCATTGCATATTCCTGATTTTATTTAATAAAAAAAAAGGCAAAAGTGTATTCTGTCTGTAAAGAAAAGTAGTTTAACACTGACAATCATACCAGGATAAATACTCCCACCTTGCATTTCAGAATAAAAGTCCTGACAATAGGTTTATTTACAAACATGTATTGCTCAAAAACTCCTAACATTTAATTAAAAAAAACGTATTACCACCAAAGTATCGTCGTCACAGTTTTTATTTTTTCAAAACATTTTTTCCAATTATCTTCCTTTGCTATTCTGAAGGGGTAATTTCCCAGTTTCCGCTTTTATTTTGATGAGCTCGAAACTCAGAGCTGAAGAAGGATAACATAATTCGTTTAAACTGCGCATGCGTGTTGACTGAAGGATTTATTCTAGATCAGTGCCAACGGATTGTGCGGGTGATCTGCATTCATTTTTTCCGGGGATAAAACGGAAATTGATGGCTGGTTTCGTTGTTTTTTTATTGTTCAGGAAGCTGTTGATATTGTCCTGAGGCTCTGAAGGGCCTGACTGGTCCCCAGCCCGTCAGCTGCCTCAGTCTGCTGTCAAACTGCGGCATCTCCTGCTGATCGTCGCGTCAGGCTGATAACTTCACTTGGAAGCAAGTTTGGAGGTGGCAAGCAAACTGCAGACGAATGCATAATTTAGCAGACTGGATTTCCGGTAGGCAACATTATTCACATATTTATTAAAAAAATAACTGACATGGGGTTACACAGCCTACAAAATAACTCCCATCGCAATAGCCTACATGCTAAATTACAAACAGGGTAAATCAATTCTAATCGAAGCCTACATAACACTATGTGAATGGAAATTGAGGGCAACAGCGACATTAGGTTCAGGCCGGTTCAGGCTGGTGCTCCCTGTCAGCTGGCAGTACACGTGACGTAAACATCGCAGGTTTACTGACCTCATAACAGGAACAAGGAGTGCTGAGCTGTCATTATTCCCCGATGAATGATGCTCTATAGGCACTTAATTCTAAATTATTATTATTATGAACTGCTTTTTATCGCCCTTAATCACATGTTCAAAGCATTTACAGGAAATGTTGATACTATGATATTTGTTCTTGCTGTTTATTGTAGGGACGGTGATGGGGAGCTGTGTGGGCAGGAGTAGGATGGATGGACAAGGGAGTGCCCGAAGCTCGACAAGAAGCAAAAAACGTGGAGGTAAGAAGCTGGAACACATTGGACTCCAGCCTGTCAGTTTCATAAACAGGCCTAACTTCATATTTGTGTGAATGCATAAAAAACACAAAGTTATTTTAGTAGATGATATTATTAAACCAAAAGCTGTGAATAAGAGTGTTGTTTGAAGTGAGATAAAAGGTTGTGATAATGTGAGTTTAAGAGAGCCTGCAAATATTCTTATAAAGGACCAGCATGGTTAAATTAAATTTGATTATTTGTTTATTTAGGGGCATCGCTTCTTTGATGATGTATTGAAATGCAAGTTACACAGAAGACTTTTTTGATACACCAGACACATAATAATATCAGTCACCTTGTCAGAAACAGCCAAATGCTGCAATTTTTACGAGAAGATGTATCATTAACAATTCATGTATTTGTGATAAAATGCAGGTTGGGGGTTGGATTCCCAACTACACCCATGTTGCATTGACGTCTTCATCAGTCTGAGAGCTTACTGTCTCAGGTGTTAAATGTTTCAGGCCTCATGGCTTAGTTATGTGTCTAATCTATGCTGTGCCTCTGCGCTGAAACGACAGTGTTTTATATAAACACTGGTCAATCCATTCCTTGTGGAAAAAACGTCTGTGCACTCAGCTGGATTGTTATGCATTATGTATGGAGCAACAGCAGCAGTGGCTTGCACACAGAGTTTTCAAAGTTTGACCTACTTAGTGCATGCTTTGCTTTATGACGACCTGCGGAAAAATATATTTACATGCCCTCTCAGATCATGTTCAAAGACTTATATATTTGTGAGATGCAACCACAGTAGGCTTCAGTAATGAACTGCCTGGCTTTTTGATAATGAAGATAAACCATCACATGTTGAGCCCACGACAGTATGCTAGCTTCACCTTCAGACTTTATCAGACTGACAGGGTTTATTGTTTTTTTAATGGGTTTAGCATGTTGCTTTGGGTATTTCTATCCTCTAAATAGAGCTGATAGAATTAGGCCTGTTGTGTAAAGAAGCTACCTTCTGGCTAGGACACTCAACTTTCCCTCTTTCCATGAACTGATCCTGGGATATTTTGAGGTTGCATGTTGTTGGGAGGGATATAAGTGAAAGGTAGTGTGGTCATGAAGTAATTGGGCAGTTGTATCAACAGAAAGCGGAGCTCTTATTTAGAATTTGCTCATTGTGGCAAAGCAGGTTTTTGTCTCTTCAGTTGATCTGCAATCAGCTGGTTCCTCAGGTTGGCGTCTTTAAGGCATTAATGCAGACTTTTACCTGACTCACATCAAAGCTCAGAGTAAGATCAGCCATGGGAGTACCAAACTCCAGGGAATACAACTACTATCACGGTCCAAACACACCCTTTAGGATTATGCTGAAAAGTAAGTAGACCTTTGTGTGGCCTGAAAGAAATGTTTTTCATCATGTTTTCATGTTAGCGCTGTGTTTGAAGATTCAACTTATTGTTATTACGTAGTACAGGTACTATGTAACGAAACGGTTTCTCTGCATTTGACCCATCCTAGTGTTAGGAGCAGTGGGCTGCCATTATGTACGGCGCCCGGGGAGCAGTGTAGGGAATGGTGCCTTGCTCAGGGACACCTCGGTAGCACTTGGTCTTTCCGGGACTTGAACTGGTGACCTTCCAGTTGCCAAGCCAAGTCTCTATGGACTTCGCCACCAGTGTTCACACTGTACTTTTGCCATCATTTCTCCCAGAATGTTTTGTGTACTGTATGTTGAGGTCAAGATTGTATGCACTGTCGATTCTTTTGTTTTTGCATTGATGTTTTTAGGGTAACAGGCAATGTTTGCAGTTGATGAAAAAAGAACATAAGGCAAAAAAAAAAAGAAAAGAGAAAGAGGTCATTACAATCGAATTGATAAACTCCAAATTGCTGCCTCTGACTGAAATACATGCTTTCACAAGAGGTACGCGGATGGCTTTGGGAAATGTGAGAATTTGTTTCACCTCGGGTTGCAGTGCTGATGTTTAGGAGAACACTTTGAAACTAGTCAATCAAAAGAAAACTTATTTGACCAACTATTTGGATTGTCAATCCTTTGTTAAAGTACTATGTCTTGGTGTTTTATATTGAAATTGTAATTATTGCCGTTGGGTTTTTGACATTTAAAACCTCACCATGGCCTTTTTAAACTGGGATAAACATTTTTCACCTTTTTTCCTTTTTTAGACACATTTGTACTTGTTAAGGTTAAAAATATACCGACACATACATTTATTATAAAAATAATTCTACCTTTCATCACAACTTACAATATGAATATTATAACTAGTATTATTAGTAGTTATTAAAAAAGTTAACCAATGCCTGTTTTGGTATATTTTAGTTTGTATATTTCCATCCATCACAAATGTTTAAACTCGAAAGAAAACACACCCAGCTTAAATTCCAGGTAGCTAGGCTTACAGCTGTCAAAGCTTTCTGTCACTGTACACTAACAGTCATGTTTACTTACTTCCTTGCAAGGAGGGTGGTAAAACATTCTTCAAATAATGCAGGTTGTCATCCCTAATTACACATCCCTCTCATATGTCTTGTTTCGTGTGTGATGTGCTATGGGGTCATGACTTAAAAATATCCCAATAACCCTCTGAGCTAAAAGACTGTAGACCAAAACCCATGTTAATGCAATTATGTAATATTAATAACATGGGATCAGATGGATATAGAGTATAATCTCTACAGTAGTTTATTTTTCTTGTAATTATAGCTTTAAACTGAGAAAAAAGGTAATCTCTAAAGGTCATGGGGTCCCTTTTACCTTCATATGGTGGCCTGCATTGTTAATGACAGAAAATAATTTAAATCGGTGCATATTAGATGATCGGAATGGCCCCTCATGTCTAACTTAATTGACAAATGAAGACTTGTATTCTTGTTATGCAACATTTTGCATTAGAACATATATTTGGCCTACTGTCGTTTGCAGAAGTTATGAAATCATGATTGATTTGTAGAAGCTTTGTTTTTATCCGTGTGCTTGTTGTTTACGACTTAGGTTTGAGTCTTTTTGCGTGCTTTCATTGGCCAGAGAGTGCTCATCTCTCCAACCAATGCCTTATGGGATGGGTACAGATAAATCCTGTTATGTAGAACCTGATTACTGCCTATAATCCACTGACGTGTGCTTGTCAATGTGAGTGCATGGCAGTGCACATGCACATTTTCGTTACCAGCCACTGCAGTAATCCACAACACTATAAATAATCCCTTTTTTCTTTGAATTAAATGTACTTTCTTGGTATGCTGGTACACTGGATGTAACGTATGCCAGCATGGACCAAACACTAAAGATCTGTCAATGAAGGATTCTTAGGAAGAGCTTTTTTGTCCTTATCTGACCTCAATGGTATGAAGATGACTAATAGTACATAACACAATAAAGTTATAGAACATTCAAAACATGTAGCATCGATCATTTATCTTATTATATATTGAGAAATGTTTGTTCTTCTCATAATGACTAGTGTTTCTTTTTCAGTAATGATGCTCTTTAGATAGAGATAGATCATGTGAAATGTTTTTTGGTGATTTACATTTGTGCCGGAAGATATAGCTAATTTTAGTACATTTCTTTTAATTCAAACAATGTTTTTTACACTCACTCTTGCCTGAGGTGATGGTAAAGAGATCAGACATTTTTCCTGGCACCTTTTACAAACTAAAGTGTCCAGCAGAGCATGGCCTTGATGATATTGGGGTGCTATCTCAAATCAGTCCTGTATTTTCTTTCAGGACGCAATGAGCCCCTTAAGAAGGAGCGTCCAAAGTGGAAGTGTGAGTACCCGATGACAGAGGGCCAGCTGAGGAGTAAGAGGGATGAGTTTTGGGACACGGCTCCTGCCTTTGATGGACGGAAAGAGATCTGGGACGCACTCAGAGCAGCAGCCCTGGCTGCAGAGGGCAATGACCTGGAGCTAGCACAGGCTATAGTAGATGGAGCCTGCATCACTCTGCCACATGGTATGAAACCACTCACACATACACACATGGCCTTTCAGATGTAGAAACGTTCTTTATCCAGCTATCAATTGTAATAAGCCGTACATGTCCTGGAACCTCCAGCGTAGATGCATAAACTTACTGTAATAATTCGCAAAATGTCAAAGGATAATTTCCTGAATCCCATGCATCAGTTGTTCAGAGATTATTGCTGTAATAGTTACATAATGGTCCCAGTGCTGCGTGACCACTCTGCATGGATTGGTGCACAAAAAGCCATGGCTGAGAGTTAAATGGAAAAAAACATTTATCTGCTAACACTCAAGAGTGTTTCTGCTTTTATGCTTTTAGTTCAAGGACATTTGTATTATTTATGTAGAAGTGATGTAAGTAAATATAATGTCAATGTCATCGCAACATACGTCCTGTGCATTATTGAAGTAGAAAAGGGTATCAGTCTAAAATTAGTTGATGTTACTTGTAGAAATATTTTGGTGGTTTATGTTGTCCATTTATCCTTCAACAGGCTCTCTTACAGAAAGTTACGATGAACTGGGAAACCGCTACCAGCTCCCAGGCTACACCTTAGCCCCACCTGCCAACCTCATCTCTGAAACGTCCAGTGAGTGCCAAGTCTCTGACTCCTCACAAAAACAAGCTCAACCCGCTCCGTGCAGAGAAGAGTTCCAGCTGCGGGTGCGATTGTCCTCAGGTAAGACACCCTGAGTATGACCTATAATTAAAGATATATTATCACCTTTAAATATACAGAACTACATGCTATGCCGCTTGCATGCATGTGACATTTCATCACATCTTAGGCTAGAGACTGATTTATAATTCATAGCTTTGATGTCAACCCTGTTTATACCTTGTGGTATCCTTAGGACAGGATGTGCGTCTGAAAGCCAGCTTGGCCGACTCCATCGCTGAGCTCAAGAAACAATTGGAAGTAGAGGAAGATATCGCCGTGACCCGCCAGAGGTGGTTCTTCTCTGGGAAGCTCCTGATTGACAAGACTCGCCTTCAAGACGCCAAGATCCAGAAGGACTTTGTGGTCCAAGTGATCGTCAATATGGACCCTCCAGCCATAGCTAACTGAGGACTCGGAGTGATTCAGTGGGCTACAATGAAAAGCAATTAATAAAGGAAGTGCCAGAGAGGGGGGCAGGAGTAGGAGTAGCGATTTGAATAATTTTCCGTTTGGCACTGCTGTGGAATTTTGTGTACATTTTTATACAAGAAATTATTGCTTTTATATTGCTCCTTTTTGTATTTTTTTCCTTTTTCCAAATGAAGTAAGAATATTGAAAAGCGCTGAAACACTTTAGATTAAAAGTAGTGTCCTAGGATGCTCTGTCTGTCTGTCTGTCTGTCTGTCTGTCTGTCTGTCTCTCTGTTCGTGTGGACATCAACTCAGTTCTATTGTTTACATGGTCCCCCCTCTTGTCAGGTGTGTTTGTAATTGTGCTTAAAGTGGACCTATCATGCTATATTTGAATAATATATTGTAGGGCCATACCTATATAAAACATGTCTGTGAAGTTTTTTTTTCAAAATACCAAACAGATCATGCATTTTAGCCATGCCTCATTTCGCTCTATTTGCTCTATTCCAGCCCTGTTTTTGCAAGGGCTGATTCTGTGGCAAATTAGCTGCAGCTGACCATGCCCCCTGCAAAGGAGGGGGATCTCTATCAGTCTGTATCAGATCCGTTGCAGCCCCGTTTTTAGAGATTTGGGTATGGAGGAAAAGAGAGAGGGTTGTGTTTTCTGACACTTGGTGAGTTCCCGGGGCGGGGACACATATTCATGTATAAAATACGTACAAAAGTGCATTTTGCATGATAGGTCCCCTTTAAACTGAATGCTGTTCAACTGGGGCCAGGGTCCAAATGAGGGAAATACAATCCCCTTCTTCTTTTCTATATTTAAAGATTTCTTTCATGCCATTTGAGAAGTAGAGTAAGGGTGGCAGAACATTTTGGACAAACCGAAACATGTAAATATCAGTTTCCATATGTGTTGTTTGGTCACGTTACAATGTGCACACTTTATTTTCATACACAACTGTATATTTTTATTAAAGACACCGAATGTATGAAGGCACCTTTCTAAAAGGTAATACGAGATGGCCAGGTTTGTTTTTTATTTCATCCCTCCAAACTAAATACTGACGTTTTATTTAAAATAGGATGCTCACTGTACTTGAATAACTTATCAATAAATATTGTGAATTTAAAATCACTCTCTGCTTTCATGATTATTAAGGCATCACAAGTTGTAACTTATCCTAGAGCATTGGTTCCCAACTACACAGGTAGATCTGTGGCATCACATTCATATTTTCCTTTTTCTATGCATGCTGGTTACTAACATCTGTAAATCCTTCAAATGACAATATAAGAAGAAAATCTGGTCAAACTGTTCAAATCATGATCACAACAAGGCCATACATTTTGATGTGAATAAGTGTAGAAATGGATCTGTGTATGGGGTCACACGTTAAATTCACACATTTTATATGTGGAAAGATAAACATAAGTCTTATTGCGTTTTTGTGTTGGTGTCAATCCCTTTATTTGAATGACAAGGACATTATACAAAACGTGATGTGATGGGGAAAAGCAACAACAAAGTCATTCAGAGGAAGAGCAAAAAATAGAAAGACAAGAGACATTAAAAAAGGACTGAGATATGGATGTAAAAATATGGTGGCCTTTTTGTTTATTATAATACATTTGACTTGAAACTGTTTATTATTGTGTGTGCTGTTATGTAATGGTATGAGCATGAGCATGAGCATGGTATGAGCACAGCATAACAATAACTGAACGGCGCCATCTATTGGCTAAACAACTGCATGTCCAGGCCAGACACGTGACGTCACTTGGTAAGCGACGGCGTCAGCTGCAGACAGTTGGGGTAACGTGATTATTTTCAACCCCGAAAATGGTCAAATCAGGGAAACTTCGATCTGGGACGGGGACTAAACTAAAACGATGGAAGAAGGGACACAGCAGCGACTCAAACCCGGAGACGAGTCGCTTCCGACAGGCTGCAAAAAGCCGCTTCTTCAGCCGACCCTCCGGTAAGCCTCCCGTTAACATTACACGTGGGTCCGTAGCTACTGCTAACTTTAGCTCGCGTCAGCCATTTAACTTGCAGCTAGCTTTACATAAAATGCCATTAAGTGTTCATCATCAACCTCAAAATAGTTGGCAATTGAGAACCTAAAATCTAAATATCTTTCTGTCTTTTTCCTTTGACTATTTTGTAATAACACTCAGTTAAGTGTTTGGTTATTCATGATAACAACTGCTGTGTGTTTGAGAGACACACACATGGTTAAATGTCGATAGACAGATAACTATTAATATTGCTGATGTCATACAGGCAGCACCTACAAAATGACAATATTGACAATAAAAGTAAAGATACATTGTTAATAATTGGCCAGTGACGTACAGTTTTACCATGGGTTACTTTTTTGTATTTTGGCATTTATTTACGGTATACAACAACTAATATGTGTATCTAAGTCTTTATGATAGACTTAATTTTTAGCATTATTATTCTTATTACTTAAGTAAGTTTTGCTTCCACTGTGATTTAGGGGTTTATTGCCATCAGTCTAATCCTCAGCCAAATAAATGCATGATTCTTTGAATTAATGTTATTTACAAACCTTAAAATGTCTTGTTAAATATTGCTGTATGTTTATCATCATTCATCCTCATTGTCCTAAAATGTGGGGGCAAAATATATAAAAGCGTTGTGTATGTGGAAGTTGGCTTAATGTAATGGTGTGTCTCTCCATCTTTTTACCCCACAGGAAGGAATGACCTAACAGTTGATGCTCTGAAGCTGCACAATGATCTGCAGGCTGGTCCGCTGGAGATTGGTAGCCGTAAGGATGCCCGCATGGAAGAGGAGCCAGACGAGGCGTTTTCAGATAGGACGTCAGGAACCTTCCTCAGCGGCCTGTCCGACTGCTCCAACCTGACCTTCAGGAAGGTGCAGCGCTACTGGGAGTCCAATTCAGCTGCTCACAAAGAGGTAGGTACTCCACTGATGGTACATTCACACACAACTCATCAACAAATATCTTTATTAGGGTAACTTGTAATGAAAACTTGTTGTTTTGGTGCAGTGAAAAAGCCTTTTTCCATTAGGAGGAAAGGCTAAAAACATTGAGGGTAGCTTTGAAAATGTATTGATGACATTTGTAAGAGTTGATTTAACGGTACAAACACCATATTTTCAAGTGTATACTTACAGATTTTCCTTACAGATCTGTGCGGTACTGGCAGCTGTTACAGAGGTGATCCGTAGTCAAGGAGGAAAGGAGACTGAAACAGAGTACTTTGCTGCTTTGGTGAGTGCTGCTTTAGGAACATTTACAAAGACATAACCACTAACTGTATGTGTTGAAGATTACAATAAACCTTGGTGTTGTATCTGAAAATGCAGCGTGTTTGTGCTTATGGTAGATGACCACTCTTGAGGTTGTGGATACGACAGAGTCTCAGGCTGCAGTGGCGTATCTCCTCAACCTCGTCATGAAACGGTAAAACTTTAACAACTTTTCTTGCCAAAACAAAACTCCCATTCACGTCAAGGCTAATGAGTTATGACTTGAAATGATTTTCATCCGATTGGTGTTTCGTTCTTCAGGGTTCCGGCTCCAGTGCTCATGTCTAAGTTCTCTGACACCACCAAGGCTCTGATGGACGTCATGTCCAAACAGGCCACATCTGAGTCTGCCTCTGCGCTCAGATGGGTGAGTACATTTCTTTCTATTCATTTTTTTATATTGTTCGATGATGAAAACTGCAGCATAGATTGAGTTTGTCATTACTGCATTTCTAGATCCTGTCATGCCTGGCCACTTTGCTGAGGAAGCAGGATGTATCTGTTTGGACTTACCCGTCTACTCTTCAGGCTTACCACGGACTGCTCAGCTTCACAGTGCACAGCAAGCCTAAGGTCTGTCTCACAAGCCTGCTACTAAACACCTCATAAGTATTGAAAAGTGAAGCTAAAAATGTACAATTATTTTACATTTCATTTTCTGTCCATTGTGGCTCCCAGGTCCGTAAAGCTGCACAGCAAGGAGTCTGCTCCATTCTCAGAGGTAGCGACTTCCTGTTTAGAGATAATGCCCCGACCCATCACCCTGCAGCAGGAACCACAGCCAAGTTCTGCATGAAAGAAATGGAACAGGCAGGAGGTAAGACAAACATAATTTGTTTTCTTATTGTGGGATATTAAATAGTTTAAAATATGCTTTTGAAATTGTCCTGTATATTGTAGTTTAAGTATGTTTCTTACCCCTCCAGGCAGCAAAGAGGACACCACCACTCTTCATGTGCTGGGTCTTCTGAAGGAGTTGATGGGGACGTTTCCTCTGGGAGCGGTCAAGTCCTGTTGTGAGACTCTGCTGCGAGTGATGACACTCAGCCATGTGGTGAGAGCTCAAAAACATGCATAGGTTGTTGTTCTTATCATGGATACAAAAATGTAGTGTCTAACATGGCTGCTATTCTTCTGTCCATAGCTGGTGACAGCGAGTGCCATGCAGTCCTTTCATAGGCTATTCAGTGGGAAGCCGAATACTGCAACCCTCTCACCAGAACTCAACGCACAGATCATCACGGTGAGAGAATAAAACAAACATGGAAAATGAATAACACAAAATGTGGTTTGAAAGCTAATATGCCATTTCCCATCGTCAGGCTCTGTACGACTACCTGCCCAGTGAGAACGACCTGCAGCCGCTGCTGGCCTGGCTCGCTGTCATGGAGAAAGCACATGTTCACTTGGCAGGGTAATAGTGTTTTCTCATAGTAGCATCACGTTTTTTTTTTGTAATTGTGTGTTTTCCAGTCAGATTGGAAAGGTACATCAACAGTTTGTGTGTCTTTGTGTAGTTTGCAGAGCTCTTTGAGTTTGGGTCACCTCCCTCGCCTCTTCTCTGCTGCCATATCCTGCCTGCTGTCGCCTCATACACAGGTGGCTTCTGCAGCAACCAATACACTAAAGGTAAAAAATCAGTTGTTGCTTTTCTTAACCAGTTAAGCCCTGAGCCTGTTTTTCAGGTTTCAGGCTCGAAAATGCCACTAACACAACAAATGATATATCTTCACTTCTAAAAGGGGTAAATTAATAATTATTTTTCTCAAAGCAAGGTTACATCTGTGAGTTGGATGTAGAAGTGTCAGAATCAATATAGATGTTTTTATTTTAAAGTAAATTCAGATGGAACATAGTAAAAACATGTAAATTCTAATGTCCACCTAAAATAAAACCTTTACTTATAGTGAAAACCACCCTTGCATGATGGGTTAGTAGACTAAAAGCTTTAGGAATCCAAACTATAACATATAATAAGTACCCTGTATCAAGATTGATGCAAAACAAGTGAAATTTGACCTTTTTAGAGAGGTTTAGAAAAATAAAATCCAAGCAGACTCACCTCTGGGTAATTTGGGAACTTTTTCACTGTAAAAATCATTTTATTACTTTGAATTATCGCTATAGGTATTCATTCCATCCAAATACAACTGTTGTGAAAAAAATAAAATAAAATAAAACATAGGCCTACTCTATTATCCTCTGAAATAGCCCAGAGCGAAAAATGCTAACCTATTACTGCACCGAAAATCACTCTTCGCTCCCTTATTACTTATCCTAGCTGCACATCCAACACATTGTTTATGATCGCAAGGAGACACAGAATCTAACGGTGCCCACCTCAACACTGAAAGATGCAAACTCGCGACGTTATCAACAAAAACGTACATCAAAACAAGTGGTGCTAACATGCGCTAGGCTAACAATGACTTACCTTCCTCGTTGTCTGGTCTAAACTGGTCTTCAATGGCATTAAAACGATAAAAACGATGATGTAGTTAATCCATAGATTAATATCCAATGGGGCTGTGTCCCCTTTGAAATGTTCTGATAATCTATAAGCAATAAAACTGCAATTCCGTTATCTGCTGTCCGCTCTGTGCTCCGTGCGCTCTGGGTCCTGCTGCATTTCCTGCTTCGTTACATTGTAAACAATAAATGAAGTCGGCTGCGTAATGTTGTTACGCTGGCTGGCATTCTTTATACTTTACGCAGGACCATATCTCTGGAACCCATTGGTCGATTCGTGTGATTTACACCTTTTTCTTAACCATCAGAACCAATAGAATCAATGGGCAGTTCCCAAATCTACGTAAACATTACCATAGCGGACGTAATAGAGAAGCAAACGAAGCATATCTGAAAGTGCAAGCCTGGACGGCAAAACTTTATACCGAGTATATTGTCATAAATATGATGATTGATTATCAGTAAAAAATTCTACGTGACACAAAGACATTGGATTAACCTTGAGATGCGTTTTTATTCCGTTGAACACAACTTTTGATCACAAATCAAAAAAGGCAAGACGTAATTATTGTAATATTTTTGAAACCGGATGTTGTTTACTTTCTCTTTTCTGGCTGATAGCTCCAGGAATTCGAGGTCTTACAGTGATGATTACATGTGTGGAATCTGTGGAGTCTCAGCTTTAAATCGTATATCTTGTTTGTGCAGTTAAGATAGTAATAAGGGCATTTCTACCGTGTGTTGTGTGTAAAAAAGCGTTAGCATTTTTTAGCTCAATGCTAATTCAAAGGCTTGGTATTACTCTTGTGTTTTTTTTAGCTAACAATTGTTCTTATTGTCAGTTAGCGGAGTTTCTTACCTTTAAAAGGGTATGAAACATTAATAGTTTCATAAATGTTAAGAAGCCCTGAGACATGTGAGAAAAAAAAAACTGTGGGAGGGGTCCACTGGGGGGACCTTCGGGCTTAACTAGTTAACAGTGTATGCAGGGGACATATTTTACGACATTATGTTTATCTGTTTCAGACTTTGCTGACTGAATGTGTAGCCCCTCACATGGAGGAAATGGGCATGATCACTGCCACAGCCTCTGCAGGGAACCCCTCCTATGTCTGCAAAATGTTTCGGTAAGCACCCTGGTCTCAATCTTTCCACTTCTCTATTCAGAGATTTCATGTGAATGCTTACCATGATAATTGTATCTGTTTTTCAGCATCGTAGAGGAAGGCTTGTCCTATCGCTACCATGCCTCCTGGCCATTTGTGCTGCAGATCCTGGGTTGCTTCTATCGGTCTACAGGGAAACGTGCTCACCCCATCATGACCAAGGTAAAGCCACTTACATTTGTACATTACTGTGAGTTAGAGATAGAACTTTGCCTGAATGTTTGTGTTATGTGCCCGACAGTCCCTGCAGTCTCTAGCAGACCTGCGCGCCACTCCTCATTTCCCCTTCATCGGAGAGTTGGACCTGGCTGTAGGAGGCGCTGTAGCGAGCATGGGGCCTGAAGTGGTGCTGGGCGCTGTTCCTCTCAACATCACCGGCTTTGAGTAAGTGTGATTAATGATTTCTTTCTTTTATTTTTTCCAATGTTTTTTTATTTTTATTGAAGAACAGGCACAATGATAGGGTCACAATTGAGACGATGATCTTCATTCATTTTTAGAACAAACCAACACCACCCACCACCCCCCCCACCCATCTCCTCCCCTCCCACCCCACCTTGAAAAGTTTAATAAAAAAATTAAACATTCCACGTTCAAATATAAAAAATAAAAACGGTGACAAAAAATAATATTAACAATAAGTAAATAATATGGCACAGGGCTCGACATTAACGACTGCCGGGGCCATCTAGTATTTAGCCCGGGCAATGAAGCCTCACCTGCTGGTTGCCTGATCGGGCAATCTATTATGCCAGTATCATGCAGCTCGCGGATCCAGTAATGAGTGACCCAACAGTAAAACTAAACATATCTATAGCTAGTTCAGGTAGTTTGAGAGGTAATTAAAATAGCTACATTACATTGCATTTAGCTGACGCTTTTATCCAAAGCGACTTACAATAAGTGCGATCGACCAACAAGATACAAACTTGAAGAAAACAGAATCATATAAGTACATCAGGTTTCATAGAGCAAAAACATTTCAAGTGCTACTCAACTGGCTTTAGATAAGCCAGTCCTTTATTAGTATATAAGTGCTTTGTTAATAATTCTTTGTTAGTAATTCTATCGCTCGAAGTGGAGTCGAAAGAGATGAGTTTTCAGTCTGCGCCGGAAGATGTGTAAGCTTTCTGCTGTCCTGATGTCAATGGGGAGCTCATTCCACCATTTTGGAGCCAGGATAGCAAACCCACGTGTTTTTGGGAACTTGGGTCCCCCTCGCAGCGAGGGTGCAGCGAGCTGTTTGGCTGATGCAGAGCGGAGTGCACGTGTGATATTCTAACCTGAAGTGTGTGTTTTGTCCGCTCACCGCTGCAGGTGATTATGCAGAGCTGCGTGTCGACTCGTCAGCAGCAGCTGATCTCTCTCTCCCGTCAGATTAGACTTCACTCGCGTTTATGTCCATATCGATCAGATCCAGCTAGTTCTAGCTAATGATATGACTACCTGCTTATTAAAAGACACCTAAACAATAAGCGTCGCTATGCAACTGGGTGAGGCCACAAAGTATAGCGCAGCATTATGCATTTGTTTACATGCCCACCGGAACCCCGAGGCATTACCAACAGATCAACGCACAATCAACCCATACAGGACATCTCTTTCTCCACATTACGTGTTAGACATTAGAATTGACTATTCTTGTCTGTTACATACTCTTCTTGTCTGTCACATAAGTGGCGCAAGAGTATTGCGTACTCTGACGTCGCCATTTTGTGTGCTTCGCGGATGCGCTCGGCTCCTCTCGACTGCTGCTCGGGTCTGCTCGGTCAGCTTCCGGATGAGGAGGCATTCGTTCGACCAACTTACAGTAACATTACAAACATTTTTAACAGGGGCCATAATAGTGTAAATAATGTTTTATGTTTTCTACTTTTATACATCTGATGAAGGCATTTGCCTTCATCAGATGGAAAGTGTCTTGACCAACAACTTAAGTATTTCTTATAGCTATGCAGGGCATGCAAGCGAGCAAACACAAACAAGAACAAATAAGTGAAATGAAGAATAAAATTGAAATTGTACAATATAATATTGTGGTGGTTCATCTTATAATTCAGTCTAGAGAATGCACCAGACAGCATCTAAGACCTGCAAAAATCTAAATGTTCTAGGGGGAGGCCCCCCAAACCCTTCGTGCGTAATTTCGTCCGTGCGCATTTTTCAGGGCAATCTCTATTGGGCTCAGGGCCATCTGTAAATTATCTTAGATGGCCCACAGGGCCATCTACCAAAATCCTTAATGTCATGCACTGTGGCAAGTAAAAACGGATCAGTAAGTACAAATATAAATAAGAAGATGTATAAAAACATTAAAAGATAAATAATTTCCCGCCATCAGGTGTTTGGAGGTTGTTGAAATAATCTATCAAGCACTGCCATTTCTTATAAAAACTGTCTACAGAGCCTCTAAGAGTATATTTTACCTTCTCACGTTTCAGAAGGAATACCAGGCCTTTAAGCCAAATAGAGTAAGACGGGGGCTTAGGGGATTTCCAATCTAATACAATTCTGCAACGAGCTAACAGAGATGTATGGGAGGCGTGTGGATTAGTGCGCTGGTGTTCGGATCAGGGGGTCACAGGTTCAAACCCCACTGCAGTCAGCATGTCGTTGTATCCCTGGGCAAGACACTTCACCCCAAATTGCTCCTGTGGGGATTGCCCACAGTACCGAGTATGTAAGTCGCTTTGGATAAAAGCGTCAAACAAGTAACATGTAACGTTATGTATACGCCACCACATCACCTTGTTGGGCAGTCAAAGTGAAAATGTTTTCTGGAACCCCAAACAATATAATGTAAGGGCAGGGCTTCAACTCAAGATGAATGCATTTGTTTAAGGAAATACTGTGGGGCAATGTTCCTGTCATTATTGTGGTTCAACGGACTGTTGCTTTTTGTCACCAGGGATGACTTGGAGTTCCCACGCAGTTGGCTGATCCCGGTCATACGGGATCACGTGAAGAACACTCACCTCGCTTTCTTCTCTTCTTATTTCCTCCCTCTGGCTTCCACACTCAAGCAGAGAGGTAAACACGTGTGTGAGGCTCAACTTTAGGCTAGAGGGAACATGATGGCTAGGTATTAACTTGATAACTTTGTTTTGTAGCTGATGAATTGGAGCAACCAGGACATAAACTTGAGGCCAAAGTCTACGGGACATTACAGACGCAGGTAGCTCTACACGGACCTAACTTTGATGGATTCACAGTCGAGAGTTTTTTTTTTTTTAAGTCCATGTCTGTATGCTGTCTTTCAGATTTGGACCATGCTTCCTGGTTTCTGTACATGTCCTGTAGACCTGCTGGTTTCGTTCAAAGGCTTAGCCCGCACACTCGGTACGATTATTAACGAGCGACCGGACCTGAGGCTCACAGTGTGCCAGGCTCTACGCACTGTCGTCAACAAGAGCTGCTCCACCGGTAGGAAGACACTCGTGTTTCCAGAGAGAGACAACGCATACAGGCGACTTTCTCTTGAATCAAATCATTCCAAAATCCTTTGTGTGTACTTTATTTCTGTAGAGGAAGAAAAGGCTGAAGTGGGCCGCTTCTCCAAGAACTTCCTGCCAATCCTTTTCAACGTGTATGGCCAGCAGCCGGCAGCTGGAGAGTCCTCCACCTACAGGATGGCCGTACTAGACACCATCAAGATCTACCTAACTGTCACTGAAACACAGGTCAGTTCAGTTTGTTCACATGTGGTGCAGTGACAACCCACTTGATGTTTGTTAACTTAATTTATGTTTAACTATGAACTTACTAAACACAGCATTCTGAAAAAACATTGCTAGTTTTCTTTCATAAAGAACTGATGATTTGTATTGTCTGTCTTTACTGTGATGGGCCATATTTATTGTGCTGGGGTATCACTGATCAAACGCTCATCCTCAGCTGGTCGGCACGTTCCTGCAAAAAGCCACAGACAAACTGAGCAGCTCGGACACCACAGAGTTCACACGGTAGGACATAAATACAGATATATTGCTGTAGAATTATGTTTGCCTCAGTTTATTATGTAATTGAATTATGCGTACAACTTTCTATTGAACCTCTCTCTCTCTCAGGCTGTCAATGATGGACCTTGTGGTGGCCATGGCTCCCGCTGTAGATGCAGCCACCATGACTAAAACCTTTGAGCTGATTAGGCCATATTTGGAGGTAAGGGTATACAGAGTGTGCTTAATCGCTTTCCAGTTTTTAATTAAAGCTAAATTGATTAATTTCTTTGTGTCTTTTGTTACATTTGTTTTCTAGTCCAAAGAGGCAGGCATGCAGAAGAAGGCATACCGTGTGCTGGAGGAGATGTGTGGAGGAGAGAGAGAGGAGTGCAGATCCTTTGTCGTCGCCAATCTGGAAACACTCAAAGTGGTCCTGCTCGACACTTTGAAGAAAGCCTCATCGCCGGCCAAAAGGGTGAGCCTGCTGTGTAGAGAGAAATGACATCAAACCAACTCTAGGTGTGCTTGATTTTTTTTAAATGTTTTATTGTACTTTCTAATTGTATCTTTTATTTGTGTTGCTCAGCCACGACTCAAGTGTCTGATCCACATTGTGAAGGGGCTCACTGAAGAACACAAAGACTTTATCCCAGCCCTTCTGCCAGAGGTAAAAACACAAATGAAAACAAACACATTGATACTGATGTTATCTGACATACTGTTATTTATAAATGGAATGTGTTTGCTCTCTGTCAGGTGATTATATGCACCAAGGAGGTGTCTGCTGGAGCGCGTAAGAATGCCTACACTCTGCTGGTGGAAATAGGAAAAGCATTTGTCCGTTTCTGTGGGAACACAAAAGGTAACACATCTGTCTTCCTTCAGTTTTGTATATATGGACGCAAGTTACTCACAAAGACAATTTTGTTTAAAATACTAATGGAGTATGTGGCTCTTATCCAGATGCCTTGGAGGAGTATTTGATGCTGGTGTACGCAGGACTCACAGGCTCCGTCACCATGATCACCTGCACAGTGTTGGCTCTAACTCGACTGATGTTTGAATACAAAGGTAGGTCTGCAGACTTTCACTCATTTCCTGTTGGTGTTTTTGAATGCTGTGATTTGTGACCTGCATTCAGTCTGCTTTTCTTTCTTCCCCAGACGCTATAGACACGAACACCAGGGAGCAGCTGCTGCACAACATCTGTCTGCTGCTCACCTCTCGTACCAGGGAGATAGTCAAAGCCGCCTTAGGCTTCATCAAGGTCATCCTCTTCATCATGGACCCCAAGACGCTCGCATCCCATGCCTCTGTCATGGTAGGTATTGTCCCTGTTGATACTCATTTCTACTGTAAGGGACAGTTGCGCCCTGATTTAATACAGATGTCACTCTCTGTGTTCAGATGGAGGGAGTTGGGAACATCAAAGACGATGTGAGGAGGCACTTCAGAACCAAACTGAAGAACATCTTCACCAAGTTCATCAGGAAGTTTGGGTGAGTGCTTGTTTATAAGCCTCAGCTGGGCCCTTTCAATTGACTGAAGAAGATGAGATGGCTGTAATAATGCACGTCAAAAAATGTCCAATTCAGCTTATATTTTCCTCCATTGTTTAGAATGTCTGGTTTGCTAATTCCTCCAGTTTATTTGGCCCTCTTACAGCAGTGCCATTCATTACCATTACTTGGAAATGGTTGTATTTGTCCTTTTTTATAATGTGTTGTTTTTGATTGGGAACTGATGTTTGATCATCTGAGATGCATCTTTGTTTCTTTTTAGCTTTTAAAAATGTTTCTTTGTCTGCTAGCATGTTTGTTTGTTTTTTAAACACAACTGATTTAAAGCCATGGCCAGTCAAATGTTTAAGATGCGAGCATATTAATAATATGCACATATTCATAAAAGGGCATATCTTTGTTTTTTAATAATGGCACCAGTTATAACACGGCACTGGTTGTCTTTACGGCACCAGACGTCTCCTCTGGGAAACACAACTACATCACTTCTTTATGACACAGTATGATGTACTGCACATATTTTTCTGCATGCGTCTGATTCTCGGCTGTTTCTCCAGTTTCGAGCTAGTGAAGAGCATGCTGCCTGCAGAACACCACAAGGTGCTTGCAAACATCCGCAAGGCTGAAGCTCGCACCAAGAGGCAGAAGCAGGTGGCGGAGCAGAACGATGATTCTGAGAGCGAAGATGAGAACCCTAAAACAAAGAGCCAAAGGTACACTGCTGTTTCCCCAAACAAAGCCCTGGATAACCTCGTACATTTTCCCCTTTCCTCAAAAAATAAATAAACAACCTTTTGCCCTCCACTCTCTAGTATTGAGGACATCCTTGCAGAGTCGGACAGTGATATGTCAGAAGATGAAGGAAAGGCTCGTAAAGCTCAGAAGAAAGGAGGCAAACCGCAGAAAGCACGGGCCTGGCTCAAAGAAGGAGAGGAAGATGACCCGCTTAACTTCCTGGATCCTACGGTTTCCCAGAGAGTGCTAGGTAACATACGGTGTTTGCATTTTGACTTTTCGAAGAAAGAAATATCCTGTCATGGTATTTCTTTTAACATGTTTTTGTATTATTTTAGCCACCAACCCAAAACTGAAAAAGAGTGCCAAGGTTGAGCATGGTTTCAAGGTGACATCAGACGGACGGCTGATCATCAGAGAGGATGAAGAGGACGATGGAAAGGTTGACGGTAAGAGGAGTTCTTTAATTAATCTAACCATCTTGTACATTGCTTTTTGTCAGAGCAAATGACAATGATCAATCCATGTCTACAGATGAGGGAGAGATGAAGGATATCTTAGAAGAGGCTGGAGTCAAAAGTGTGAGTACTTTTGTATATATGTGACACAGAAATGTTGTAGTGCTGTTGTTACTGTAGAGACATTTTTACTGCTGTTTTAACTATTTTTTGTTTTTAATCACCTTCAGAAAAAGATACAGAAAAGGAAGTTCAGAGATGACAACATGGACGAGGACATGGACATTGCGCCACAGCTTAAATACAAAGGTAGGACTGGTGCAGAACATCCTCAGCGATAAAACTGCTTAAGCATTAAGGGGGTTGCATTAAGCCTAGGTGCTGGATTGGCAGCATGTCATGAGACTAAGCAGCGCATCTTTCTTCTTCTCAGCTGGGGGTTCAGGTATCCACAGACCCCTGAGAGGAAGTGAAGACACTGGGGCAGAGTACAAGTCAAAGGTGAGTACGACAGCTTTCAGAAACGCACTGCAGGAGTTTCTGGTTTAGAAATGATCATTCTGAATGGCTCTTCTTCTTTTCTTCTACATCTCTCAGAAAGGAAAAGGAGACGTAAAGAAAACAGGGAAGCATGATCCTTACGCTTACATCCCTCTGAAGAAGTCCCAGCTCAATCGCAGGTAACTAAATTCACTCATCTACATTCTCATAAGGAATTAATTTGTATAAAAATATCCAATGCTTACATATTTTATTCTTTGTGTATTCACAGGAAGCGTGCCAAACTACAGGGCCAGTTCAAGGGCATGGTGAGAGGAGCCCAGAAGGGGGCGACGTCTGGAAAGAAAATGCAGAAGAACAAGAGGAAAGCCTGAAGAGCATCCTTTTATTACTCAATGGACTCTTAATGTGTTGGGTGTGATGGTGTGTTCATAAACATACTAAAATGCAGATTTACACCGTTATGTGCGTGTCTGTCGGTGTGCCATTCAGACAGACTCATTGAAGGTGAATTAGTTTGTTTTTAAACTGTTCCTTCTCTCAAAGCTCACAAAATGCTCTGACGTCCTTTAGCTTCAAGGGCTTTTGGCTTAAAATTACTCGACTGTAATCTGTTTTATGCATCCGTTATACTCCCTATTTCCTTAAAAATACATGTATTTATGTGAAAACATTAATATGGAGATAGACAATAAGACTGGTTTGTGAAGTTTAATATCTGTCTTGTGTTATTTTGTCACTTGAGGGCGCTATAGACAGCGAAAGACTGTTAATGAATACATTTTAAGGTGATTTAAAATACATAATTTTTTTTTTTATACTGAGAAGATAAGACAATATTTCCCTTTTTTAATTTCGCCATTTTATAAACCCAGTTATCTCCAGCCCATTCAGTGCAGCCCCTTAAAGACGGAGAGAGAAGCTGTAGGTTGTTGTTGTGCAGGGTCAGTGAACATACCATTAGCCTCGTGTGATTCATTTCCCCAGATGGATTGCAGCAAAAATGATTCATAGCAACCTCCTAATCGCACTCTTTTGTGTCTGAGCTCAGTGTGTCAGTCAGCGTCTCGGAGGAGTGAAGCAGATTTCCACAACTCAGTCAGGACATTCTCAGAGCGGTTAAGTGTTTATTAAAGGGGCTTCAGAAAGTATTTGGGTAGACTTTTGATTGTCTTACTACACAGTAACCATTAATGACAAGATGAGAACCTGTTTTTAGAAATTTGGTATGAATAAGAATTATGTCAGTGCAGTGATGTTACAGAAATGACCTTCAATAAACCTAAAAGCAATGAAAAATATTAGTATTTAGTTTCAATTTTGAGGCCTAACAATATAAATGTCATTGATTGTTTATTAGTGCTTGAGTAATAGCTTTAATTTAATAATGTGCTTACATTACATCACCAAATATTGCATCTTGCAATATCCAATTAACTAATGAACATGTCATTATGTTTTTCACTTGCTGCAATCTGAACTGATTTACAGTATGACTGCAAACTCCTATTGTAATAGTACCACGTTTTTGAAAAACGTAAATAAATCACTTCCAGACAGCATTTAAAAAACATTGTTTAATGGAGACAAACACAAAAGGTTGTTAAGAAATAATGCAAAAGATAATTTCAGTCACTTAATGCAGTACAATAAACATTTCCTGTGTAATCTTTGCTAGTAAGACCACAAATACATCTGATGCCAAGCCAGAATGCTTCCTAATATCCATCTTAACATTCCCCTAACTCCGACCTGACACTAACTAGAAAACAGATGCAGACAGGGCTTGTGTTATAATAAATAAAATATGGAGTAACTGTCCTGCAGTTGCAATAGTATCACTGAACCGTTACCCTAAAATGTCCCCAAAATGTAAAAAAAATATTTAGTTTAAAAAAGATGAATTAGTCAGATTATTTTTTAAAGAAAGTGTAAAGTAAAAAAAACAAAGCCAACATAAATGAAATTCCAATAATCTTTCTCTACATGCTGTATTTCCCTCCACCTCCTCATTAGACATTATTCTCTACCAACCCTAAGTAAACTATTTACCCTCATTAACACTAAAATAACTTTCAGCAACACTTAAGTTTCCAAAAATGTTTGCACATCCTCTAACCATCACATTTAATACTGTACACACAGGCTTAATCAAGTAACTACATGCTTGTTGTTTCTATAATGTTTGCATTTTTGTTTTACAAAAGTTTTCTTTATGAAACTCAGTAGATTTTGATATTGAGATAAATACATTTCTGCTGTCCAGCAACAAAGCACAGAGCTCCAAATCAGAGGGTCTGGCTTTTTAAGATTGAATGTCTGCTGTCTTCAGGATGAAAGACTGACATGGGTGTTTTATGGAATTAATTGATGTATCACTTTGTTTAGTAGGAGGCCCCCTTGTTCATCATCAGATCCTGGGTGGGGGTCGAGATGGTGGGGGTGCACGGGCTGGGGGTGGACCTGGAGGGGGTTGGTGAGAAGGGGGGGGTGCGCGGGAGGGTGGCGTTGTGCGGGGCCCTTTCGACGGAGGCTTGGTACGAGGGACAGAGTTGGACACAAGAGGTCGCTCTTCGGCGGGCTGAGGAGGAGGGGGGGAGGAGGGGGAGTGATGAGTGCGAGGAGGGGGCCGGTTGCTCGGGGTGGACTCCCCATCTTTGACTCGCTGGAAATTAATACAGCGACCCTGCAAAACACACAGACGGACATCTTTTCAATGCAGAGTACAGATTTAAATGCAGTGCATCTCAATGAGCTTGTTAGATCCAAAGGCCAACAGGGTGTGTGTGTGAGTCTTTGCCAAGCTCTTATGACAGAGGCGTGTGTGTTCCTGTCTGTGGATGGCACACAGAGCTGCTTCTGTCCACTGTCCACACCTGCACCACAATAGCTGTGATGCTAGCATAGACACTGACAACGTTATCACACACACACACACACACACACACACACACACACACACACACACACACACACACACACACAACACACACACTGTAGAGTTATATTTGTATTTATTCATGTTAGCAAACTATGGATAAGCTTAAAATGAGAATAATTTGGGTAAAACTGTGAGCTGCATTTGGGGCCTGTTGACATGTGTTTTTGAGGACAAAGGAAGATGGGGGAAGGGGAGAGCATGTCCTGATTTGCATTCAACTTAGATCTAGCTGCAGTGTTTGTGATGTTAAGAGAGGTCCCTTGGGTTTCTCTGGTGCTTATCAATAGTAGCAGTTAAGTGAATACTGTTCAAACAATACCTGTGTTTGTGTTTTATATTGATTTCTCTGTTTTATCCTTTCATAAATGTAAGGACTACAAATGGCTATAAACATTCTGGGCTGGTTGGAGTAAACAGGGTTTTATGGCTCTGTGGGGGAGGTGTAGGTATGCAGGCCTTGAGACCTTTGGTTGTAAAGTGAGCCTGTTTGGTTTCCTGCTGCGTTGCGTCTCCCAATGAGATGACCTGAAAAGATGACCAGCTGACCTAACACCAAACCCCTCCTTCTTACTCTGGTATATCTCCGGTGGATCCCTGGCGTTCGGCCTCTTCTTCACATGCTGCGCTCGGGTGAAAGTAGCTCTGCAGTATGCGGACTAGAGCAGGAGTAAGCCGGCATTACTCCTTAAGCATTGCAATATAACTGTAATATATCATGTTGTATTGTAATGATTGTATTGCATTGTCATATTGCCATTAAAGTAGATTATTGTTAACGGTTACTTTGTAGATATGGATTCCTTCCTGTATTATAACCAGCTTCATAGGAACGCGCGGAGATTTGAAAAGCGGACCAGTTATCCCTTTAAATCTCCAACAAAATGGTGACCCCGACGTCTATGACGAAGCTGAGGAAGAATTCAGACGCTTTCAAACATCTCAGACAATCAGCAGGACTCTGCAACTTTGCAAATAAGGTAAGCAGACGATGAAAGTCGCCTGTCTGTAATTGGATACGCTAAAACTTTAGGATTGTCTGTAGGCGTTTCACAGTGTTTTTATAGTTTAAATGGAATATACAATGCATATTTACTATGTTAGGAAAGTTATATACAAAACGTAAACGTGGATCGACAGGTAGACGGAAGTCCTGCGTGACGTAAATAGAGCAGTTTGGCGCGGATCTGCAGGTGAATATTCCTGAGTGGCGTAGAAATGGTGCAGTTTGTGTGAATGCGAGGTTTGAGTCCTGCACGGCAAAACCTGAAAACTCGATAAATCAGATCGAGTCGCCGTTTAAAACTGGGGTTTAAATAACAGACCAATGCTAAAAGCTTAAAGCCAGAGGTCTGTTATATATTAAACCAAGGTAGAGCGTTTCCCTTTGTCTGGAAACTTCTGCTGCTGCCATCTAGTGGCTGAAAGGGGGTATCACACCCTTGAAAACTTCTGCTGCTGCCATCTAGTGGATGAAAGGGGGTATCACACCCTTGAAACTTCTGCTGCTGCCATCTAGTGGCTGAAAGGGGGTATCACACCCTTGAAACTTATGCGAGCTTAGAGTTTAATCATTACATTGCTGGCCGGTATTGTTTGGTAAACTGGTACAAAACAATAAGGGATTGAACATTTTTTACAACGACAGCACCAGGAGATGAGTAAACTCAAGAATCTGTAGAGTGTAAATACATTGTGCAAAACACATTTTACACTTGCAAATGTAGACAATATAAATAAATGTTCAGAAAGAAGACATAGGCCTACACTTGATTCAAATTTCATTACTGTGATCCGATTGGTGTGCTCTGCAGGTTTACTATTGTTCGAAGTAACAGTGGGATTTAAAATGAGAGAAGATATGGAGATGTTCTTTCATAGTGTGTGGAATATGTGATGCTGGAAACATGTAAGTATTTCAGAGCTGTGTTGGGTAAATATGTAACAATGGATGAAACAATTTTTGGAGTTAGTTTTTGTAATATCATAAGTAGACATTAATTATGTTGTTTAGATGGCATTTAACAACTAAGACAGATAGTATGATTAGAAAGAGACAGAGTGGAAAGGGTTGGATTTATTTAACATCAGTGTGCTAGACTTCTTATAGGTAATGTGTACCGGGGCCTGGACTCCCCCTCTGAGTTAGAAAGGCTTTGATCCCGACCCTCCAAGCAGACAACGAGACCTAACCCAACAGGAGACTCCTCCTTCTCCATCGTACAGACAGAGAACCAGAGCTGAACCAACAACAACAACAAGACTACATCAAGACTGCAGCCAGAACTATCTCCACCTGTGGCATCCAGAACCAAACCAGCATGCTGACATACAGAGAGATACTCTCATCAGCCCCTCAGACAGGACATGAGAGCAGAATCCGCCCTCCATAAAAACAGCAGAGAGACTGTAAAGGAGGAGTGCAACAACAGTGGCATGATGGGGCTGCAGATGTGACTGGGCCAATGGCGGCCTACAAAAGTTACAGCGGATGGATTCAACAGCTGATGGACTGAAGAGAAGACAGAATCAGAGGAGTTGGCATGGTCGATTAGAAGTGAGGAGGCCGGGGTCACGGCTTGAGAAACCAGGGGAGGAGGAAAGGAGAACGGGAATGAGTGAGTTACACATAAACACACTTATTCACGAAACGCACATTTAAATAACTTGAATTAACTTCATAAAGACAGAAAGATTTATTAATCATTTGGTAAATTAAAAATAGCAGTAAAGAGGAAACTATTAAAGTAAAATGATAATCATCCTAAAACACACTGACAGAGTAGAACCATATTCTTCAATATTTTCATCATGTTAACAATTCATTCTTTAAGACATTTTTATTCACGTGTGAATAAAGTAGTGATCTCATTGGTTACAATATTGATCACCATTAAAGGATAGTTTTAGGAACCACTCTATAGGACAAATCTTTGTTTGTATTAATGGCTAGTGCCAAGCCACATATTAAATTCCAATCTAAAGTGTTGATTTCACCATTGTGGCATAGTTATTACCAGACTTCGGTTTTAAATCCTTGATAAAGGAGGGAGTAATTGTTGCATGTTCGGACACCCAAGGTTCCACACACTGCTAAAGAGTTTATCATTGTTTTTTAAGTAGACCAGAATTATAATGAGCTATGAAATGCAGAGCGACACAGATCCTAGTAATGTTTTGACTCAAGATAATAGTTATTGTACAAAAGTTTCTGAAATAGATCATTAGACATTTTAATTAGTAGTGGTACTCGAAGGAAGTGAGTTTTGTACCAAGTTTCAGGAAAAGTGGGAGGCGGAAGTCCCAATGACAAGTGAGAATCATCTTGAAAATTATAGTTGAAATCGTGACATATTTTTGTAGACAAAGGATACTGGCCTATGCTGAAATGTCAAAGTCTCTGCAGAGCACGACACATGGCCAAAAAAGACGGAGACCAACTGACCTTTGACCCTGACCGACAGTGTAACTTGACAAGGCACTGTGGATGACTGACTCTGGGGTGAACCTGACCAAACTTGACATGACAACCAGACAGTGTGAGTGTGAATGTATGCCGGCATGTGATCAGTGTAACTGCATGATTCTAAAACAATAACTAACCAAGCATGTTTTTGGACTAACATATTATTTTGGAGCTCCAAGGGAAACGAGAGGTTTCCTAAAAATTCCACAAAAAGGGGAAACCGCACATGTGATATTTTCCTCTCACATGAGTTGGCGGTTTGCAAATGTAAAAGCTGAAGATTCTGTTTCTTTTAGGCCTGAAGGACGGAGAGGAACACTTCTTTTCACTGAAGTGTTCACTGTGGAAATAATGATAATAATGTTCGTTATGTTCCTAACCAATTACCTGACAGTTGTTGTTCCCCTCCCATTACAGGCTTTTGTTACACATGAGTTCATGTGTAAAAAGGGGGAGTGAGTAAGTATAATGTATAAATGTCAACATGGCTGTAAAATTCACAATTTACATTTTTTAAGGATTGAGCATTGAATGTAATTAACCTGCTCCATATCTGGGGATAAGATACTGTTTGATGAATGTTGAGATGTTTCTAAATATTGATTTGAATTATAACAGGTAACAAAGAAGCAGTGGCCAAGGGGCTACTGTGAAACCGAAGAAGTTGACCTGTGATAGTTAAACAATTTTGTAATATTTTAACAGACATTAGAGCAACTGAGGTTTGAAATGTAGAAAGAACATATTACAGTTAAAGCTAAAACATAGTAGTGTATTGAGACAGAATTTAATTTAGACAACATCCTGTAACTAGCCTGGTAAAGAAGTAAGAGCCATATACTTTATTATTAGGTCATTATAGGGATATAGATTTCATCTAAATTTATAATAGAAAGACATTTGATGACAGTTTGTTGGAATTCTGTATTCATTTTTTCAGCTTGATAATATCTAAGCACTGACAGGTAGAAGCAGTATCACCAGGAAATCATTCACTTTGTTAGTATCGTGATTTTGGTTGTTTTTGAATCCATAACATTAGTGTGTTTCTTTACCAGAAACATTAGCAGTTCATATTAGATTTGGATTTTAAATAGGATTTCATTTAAAAATAAACACAGATGCTTGTCAGAAATTCAGAGCTATTGAAATATGTTATTTAGTTTACCTAAAGATGTTGAGGTTCTTATTTAGTTGGCACAGTCCAAGTATTAAGATTCTGAAGCTGCACTGGCAGATAGGAGGTCTACAATTAATTTGGAAAACCTGTTCACAGACGGCT